TCGAAATCTTTCATAATTTTCATAAAATTTTAATTTTTTAAGTGAATGAACAAAAAATACTCAAAACAATCATTTATTTATATGAAAAACGAGAAATATACATACAAACAGCAAATTTGTGACAATACATACATATGTTGAGAAATTAGAAAATACATTACAACTGAATAGGAAGGAGTACAATCACTTTTATTATCGGGACGACAATGGAGATAACTATCACTACATCACTATATCTTACAGCATCAACTAACCCGCCGGCTGGAACACTTGGAACGAGCAGCGCAAGTTCTCGTCGATGAACATAGTTGCGCCGGCGTTGTTATACTGGGCGGCGTAGTGTGGCGCACTGAAGAGCGTGATGAGCTTCCTGTTTGCGAAGAACTCTGCACCGTCTTGCACAACCTGAAAAAGAATTAAATGTATTTACTGCGATAATTGTCGAATGTTAATTATGGCAGTACCTGATGAGCACGCACGACCAAGTCAATGTCCAATTGTTTGCAAATACGAGCGACAACGTCTTCGCCAAACATGACACTTGCACCCCGCGGACTTCTCACACAGCCTTGAACACCATTTTCCGGATCGGCCCAGAGCAAGTCGAGCTCAATTGTTGGGTTTGCCGCGTCGAAGTCAGGCACCGGACGACGGAGAGAGCGCAACTGGTCCAAACTTCGCAGACGATCCGAGATTCCGCCGTGCATACCTAAAGAAAAAAATTTAGGGAATGCCTTTTCCCAATTATATATTTACTTACATAGGACCCTCCCGCCAACCAAAGCAGTGAACGGCAGCCAAGCGAACGCCTTGTTGAATGCTATCCAGAGCGATTGAGTGTCGTGTGGAAATCGTCGGCGGATCTCCTCGAGGAACCCATAGACACGGTTGATGTTGCTACATTCATGGTTGCCGCGCAACAGGAAGAAATTTGCCGGGTATCTTGTCTTGTAGGCCAGAAGCAGGACAGCTGTCTCGATGCTTTGACGGCCGCGGTCGACGTAATCTGCGAAAATTTGTTAGAAAGTTTAATAAAAAAGTGGTTGGTCCTTTACCTCCGAGAAAGAGGAAGTTCTTCAGCGGTGGAAAGCCAACTCGAGAGAAGATGCGCATCAAGTCAGAAAACTGTCCGTGGATGTCACCGCATACGACCACTGGCGGATCGATCTCCACAAGAGACGGCTGAACACGAAGAACTTCAATGGCGCTGTTGCACAGAGCTTTGATGTCATTTGCGGTGACCTTAAAAAATTGGAAATTCTTTATTGCCCGCAAAAGTTTAAAAGGATAATAAAACCGACCAGTTGCGTGAAGCGCTGCGAGTTCGTTAGCAAAATGCGCTCGATGAGACCATCCACCTCCGCCAAGGTCAGCTTCGGTTGTGCCATTATTGTTGTGAAGTCTGGAGTGCAAAGGCCAAGTTGAGAAGAGCAGCTGTCGACGTAACAATTGGATCTAGTTGTCGAAGGGTTGCCAGTATTGAAAATTCAACTGTTTTTATAGTAGCTTATGTGAGATTATAATACTATTATTTTCTGATTTGCCTACATAATTTAGATAATTTAAAAATTATTTTATGCATCTTTCAATAAATAAAATAAAAAAAAACATAATATTTTATAAAATTAATTTTATTTTTAAAGTTTTTAATTTAAATAATTAATTTATTTATTTGGACTAATTCCTTAAATTAAATTAAATTTTTTATTCATTTAATAATTTACGTAAACATATTTTGAATTAAAGTCGAAAATGAGGGGGTGTTTGTGGGGGTGTTTGTGAATAGCTTATGTATTCCCACAAATGGGCGTATATCTTTTCTATACATACATATGTAATTAGCTTTGTGTTATTTGGGTGCGGGGGTGTGTTAAAAGTTAAAAAATATATATTTAAATAAGTATTAAATATTAAATAATTATAATCTACCCTACTTTCCAAAGCAAATCTCCTTCAGAAAGGATTTTCGGTTTTGATCTAAATTAGATGTAGGCATTTTTGATGGCCTCATTTTTAAGGCTAGTATTGGACATTTAAGATATGTATAAATAATTAATTTTAATATATGTTTAAAATAAAAATTGAATAATTAGGGAACTCTTTTTCAAACATAATTTTATGTGATTAGAATGTGAGAGCAGGAAAATGCTTTCAAATAAAGATATTTTACACTATAAAAAATTTCCTTAACGAGATCAACTCAATCCCCATTTAATCTTTAATCACAAATACCTAGCTATTAAAAGGCCTAAAGAATAATTTAGAAATAAAAACTTTATAATAAGATACTATATATAATTAAATATTTAATTGAGTATATAGTATATTAATTCCCAAACATTAATTATATGCTTTTTTCGAGAGAATATTAATTTAATATTGTTTATTCGTACATTGTGCTTTATGTTAGCTTTGTGTTTGTTAGCTTTCCCTCCCGCTTATTAATTTATAATTATTGCTATTTTCTATTTTTATATTCCTTCTAATATTTAATTATACCAATAATTATAATTTATTTTCATTTTTCTCAAATTAAACTTTCGTTTCTTCTCAAATCTTTAGTTTTGGAGTTGATAAGGAACTTTTTAGGTTCTTCTTTAAAATCTCCTTTTATTCAATTACTCTCAATTCTTACCTAATTCTCTTATTAAATAAAAATAAAATCAAAAATTTAAAATTAAACTATCTCTCAATTTCCGTTCTTTACTAGTCCCCTCTCCCCACCCCCCCTCCCCCAAGCCCTAAATTTACTAGTCCCCCTAATCTTTTCCTTCTTTTTTTATTAATACTTTCTTCACCTAAATTTAAAATTTTAATTGTAATTTTATTATTAAATTAAAATTTCCGTTTCTCTTTTTTTTTAATTTTTACAACATTTAATTAAAACAATTGTTTCCACTTTCCTCTCTCCTCTTCTTTTTAAATTTATTTAATTCCCAAATCTGGTCCAATTTTTTAAATTTAAAAATAAGAGAATTAAATTTATTTATTTTACCTTTTTGTCGTCACTCATTTTCCCCCAACTTTTTTATATTTTTATTTTTTCGTTCAATCACCCCCACCCCTCACCCCCCAATTCATTTTAATGACGTCAACAATGAAAAAAGAACAAAAGGAATAAATAAAAAAGAGAAGGTGTTAGGAATAATTTATTTTTTTAATTAAAATTACGAACACTTTTTAAATAAATAAATGGAAGAACGAAAAAGGAATAAAAAAAGGATTTAAGACAACTGTGCAAAAATAATGAATTTGCAAATATAATTATTTTGCTGAAAAAGGGGAAAGGGGAAGGGGGGTTGTTGGCCTTTTTCCATATTTTTTTAAAATTATACATAAAATTATTTTTAATTTTTAATAGGTCCATCCATTTATAAATTTGTAAAAAAATTAATATTTAATTATTATTACTTTTATTTTTTTAATTATAATTGGATTTGGACCAGAGTTGCGTTGTAATTGAAAAATTTTTTTCGTAATCGTAATTCGTAATTCGTAATTTTCAAAAAAATTTCGGAATCGTAATTCGTAATTCGTAATTGAGAAAAATTTTTCGTAATCGTAATTCGTAATTCGTAACTGAAAAAATGCCGTAATTCGTAATTCGTAATCGTAATTCGTAATTTTTTAAAAATATTTAAATTAATTTAAAAAATCAAATATCAATTAATAATTGCTGCTGTCCCTCCAAGTCTCTTAATCACTCTTAATCCTAATAATCATTGTCCAGATTAACGTTTGATATCATTTGAAATCCCTCTCACTTAATCCTGAGCCAAAACTCTTATATTTTCTGCGCCGCAGGCGAAAATTTTTAAAAAATTCATGACTAAATTAAAAATTTTAAAGTTTTTTCAATTTTAAGATATTAAAAATATAAATTTACACACCTAAAATTAAAATCAAAGTTTAAAAACATTTATTTTCGAAAAAATAAATTGTCTAACTATTATTTCCCACACATGGATTCGAACCAAACCTCACAAAATATCAAATGAGTGAAGCTTGACTTTTAACCCACTCAACCACCGATAAACAAAAGTAACCGCGAGAGAAAATATAAATATTTCAAATATTTCTTCCCCTTTTCATTCTAAAATTTAATGGCAACGTTATTTTCGTAATTCGTAATTTTTCCCTATATTTTCGTAATCGTAATTCGTAATTCGTAATTTAAAAAATTTTTTCGTAATCGTAATTCGTAATTCGTAACTGAAAAAACACCGTAATTCGTAATTCGTAATCGTAATTCGTAATTACGACGCAACTCTGATTTGGACGTTAAATTAGTAGTTTTTTTACTTAACTTTCTATGTTGCTGACAAAAAATTTAAAAATACAAATTAGTTAACTTGCTCGAAGATATAAATATTTATTTTAATAATATTTATTTTAATATTTTAATACTCTTACAATTTTTTGATTTTGCCAGAAAAGGACAGGCTTATAAGAACACATTTCCAACCCTAAATTATAATTTTTAAAAATATTTAAAGTCAAAATTTTAAATAAAATACCTAAATATTTTTTTAAATCCAACCCTCTTTTCTTGCCCCAATTTCCAATTGGCCGAACATATGACGATTTTTAATTATTTTACAAAGAAAAATAAAAACAACAAAACTCTTCTGTTCACACGATTTTAAATAATTTTCGCGCATTAATTTTATTATTATCAAAGAATAACTCCCTTTTATTCCTTTTTCTTTTGAAAAATTTAAAATTGAGGGAATCTTTTTTTATAAATAAACAAAATAATTAAAAATTAAATTCTATTTTTTCTTTTTAATATACATATTTTTTATAAGAAATCAAATTTTTAAGGGAATAATGATCATCATTCCCTTAAAAATTGATTTCTTATAAAAAATATGTATAAATTAAAAAAAATTTTTACATTTCCTTTGAATGGCATATTTAAATTTCTCTGATAGCTTTACCTATACCCACACTAATCTTGAATAAATCCTTGGGTCTTTTAAATTTTTATTCCTATTCGATCCTCCCCCTCTCTCCCTCCATGTAAACTAAATTTCCTTTACCTTTCAATATTTTGCTTAAAACCCTTCTCATAAATTTAATTCGTCGACATATGTAAATAATTTTTATTTGTTTTTAAAGGTAATGGAAACACCAACAAATATTTTAAGTCCATGCCATAGTCCAATACTTTTAACCGAATTTCCACAATTAATCCAACGTTTGGACTTGGAAAAACAATTTGAATATCAAAAAAGATTAACTGAACAAAACAACATTGTTTTTATGGAAAATGATAAAATTGAAAAGAAAATACGTTCTTCTAGAACAGGACAAAGGTAGGAAGTAGAATAGTTAAATAAAAAATTGTTTCCGTTTATTTGAAATCTTTTAACCTTATATTAAGCTTTTTGCTAGTCTACAATATATCGTTAATTTGGAAAAATAAATCATTATTAGGAAAACATTTTTCCCTATTTAAATTTCCGTTACTGTATGCTTGAATAATTGCCCTGGGTAAAATGTTTCAAAAATTAAAAATGGCAATGATTTTTTCAATATTAGTGTACGAAAAATAGGGGGCAATTATAAAGAAAGTAATTTTAGAGAGAGGTAATTATTGAGAGTGGATAATTATTCGAGCATATACGGTATTTGGAGGGAGTTTGATATTAATTGTTAAACGCTAAACAATGTTATTTTATTATCTCCCACCTTTCCAATATTTTACTTTTTTCTTATTCCTCAGCTAATTTCATGTTTTCTACTTAGTAAGAATAGAAAATTATTTCAATCTTTTTTTGAAAATTTCAATAATTTTATATTTTATAATTTAGCGAATACTCTAATAATACTAATATTATTCCTTCAACAACCTCCTCTTCCCAACCATTTTTGCAACAAACATTAATAACAAATAAACGTCGACATGATTCTGAATTTAAAAGAAATTTTAAAAATAAATTATTAAATAATAATAAAAGATTAAAAGAAGAAGAAGAAGCTTTAATTAAATTTTCCCCCTCTTTGATGCAACGACAACAAATAAATTTATCTAATCCTCTTTCAATGTCTAGTAATTCAACTCCCGTTTTTACTCAACAACCTTCTAATTCTGGTAACTTTTAAATTTAAGACGAATATTGGAATGGTACAAACTCGTGAAGTGAATACTAATTTTGAAATTAAACTTCCTTTCCTCTCAAAAAAATTTTTTCATGATTTCATAATGTAAGGAAGATTCACCTAGAGCATTTAGAACGCTTAGACGTGGTTAAACGATCTGGAAGGATAAGAGAAAGCATTAGTCGATGTCCCAGTAGTTCAGTGGTAGAGCACCTGTATGTGTTGAGCGAAAGCACCTAGCAATAACCACGAGGAGGTCGCAGGTCCTGCCCGGTGGTTAAACTTTTGCTGAACTCTATGTATAATACAAAAATATTCGTAACTAATCTCTTTTAATTTAATCTAATTTTAATCCAAAAAAAAACATTTAAGGTCAAATAACAAAAAACAAATTATGTAAACAAAAATCTGCCTCTTTTGATTCCTCATCTCAAAATTCTAATTATTTATTTAATAATAATCAGAGAAGATTAACAACAAATGAAGGAACAACAAATAAAGAATTTATTAAAAGACGTTTATTAGTTTTTCAAGAAATTGAAACTTACAGAATGCGTTTATTAGAAGCTGAGGAAGAACAACAAAAACAAATAGAAAATATTAAAGAAGAAAGAATACCTCCAACAACTCTTTTAAGTAAAGGTAAAGTAATTTTTTGTAATTTATTCAAATGTCAGTATAAAACCATAAAATGTTTGGTTAGAAAATTTATTTAGAGGGAAAGGGATATACCTAGGTAACTTGCAATAATTTTTAGATACCTGATTATATCCGGAAATGGATTCGTGGATTTTTAAAATTAATCCCAATCATTCTCGAAAAACCCTCTTTAAACAAAATCATAGGGGATAAATCATATTATTTAAAAAAATTTAATAAAGCCTCCAATTCATTCATTTTCTTGGTCTATTAAATAGCCATAGAAATTTTATTGAAAGGGAATAATTTAAAAAATTGACTTTTTGGATGTAACTGTCTTTGCATTTGCATTTTTCTAAAAATTTCTTCGCGCTTTGCGTTATACTTTGCAACAGAATTTTTAAAATTAAAAATTTTAAATACAAAAATTTAATTTTTAAAAAGTTTGAAATGTTAAATTCTTAAAAATAATTTTCAAAAAAAATATGAATCATAATTAAAATAATCATTCTTTAATATATTTGCTTTTAATATTTAAAACTTTTGGGACATTTTTTGTCACTTTACTAAAAATATTTATAATTTTTCTGATTAGATTTTATCTAAAATTTCTGAAAAATTCCTCTAAAGATCAATGAAAATATAAATGAAAGAGGATTTAAATCTATTTTTAATAATTTGGGGTTTAAGGATTGTTTCTCTTTCTCAATTCTTTTTATAAAATATTTTAAATTAATTAATTTAAACACTTAAATTATTTCTGTAACTAAATTCCTTTGATACTGACTGATAATTATTTTTGAAGTACATATACCTTTCTATATTAAAACTACTATAGTTAACTTTAAATTTCTTTATCACTCTCATATCTTTCTTCATTTCATCAAAATTTTATATACTTTTCACTCCATGTTTGAATTCGATATTTATCTCTTTTTCACTTTTTAATTAACCCTGATCCCTTCAGGATAATATTAGGTAGAGGTTGTATGTGACATTCTTGAATTAAAAGATCCCTTTTTTACTTTAATTCCTTCTTTTATTTTTTAAGAGGAAAGAATTTCTTTTCCCTCTCTATGTATTTAAAGCTTTGAATGTCTTGGATATAAAGAAAGCTTTTTAAAAATATTTTTTTAATATATTTTTTGTGTGCGAACGTCGAGAACACTTTTACTCAGTTTTTCTACTCTTGACAGACAAAAAAGAAGGAAAAAATAATAAAGAAATTGACAAAAAAACGAAATAGTTGAAGATGTAAAGAGGAGGGTTTTAAGCAAAAAGAGAGAGAAATGAGAAAAGCAATCAACTGAAACTGAAGGAGAATTGTTAAAGAATATATAAATGACGTGAATGAGAATAACTACAAAAAAAAATTTAAAGAAAATACTAGAGAGAAGACAATTTTAAAATGCTTAAAAGAGGCGGGGTTTGAATGTATAAAATTGTGTTAGAGACAGCTAAAATGAAAAAAAGTACTAGCTACTAACATAAATTTATATTTATTTGTTAGCTAAACAACAATCTATAGAAAGAATATACACTAGAAGCTAGGCTGTCAAATTCTCTCTCCTCTATGCTTTTTCTTGCTTGGACAATTCACTGAAATAATTAAATATGTACCAAGGGTGTGCGAGTTTCGCCTTTTATCTTTCGCCTTTCGCTTTTTAAAATCATTTTCGGCACACCCCTGATATTTACATATTTTTAAAAATTTCTGAAAATATTTATTTCGAATTGGAATTGCTTAATAATATTCTAAAACTTGTGAGACAAACTGCGAAGGAAAGAATTTTTTCCTAAAGAATGCCTAAATCCGGAATTACTTTTTATTAAATTATCTTGCTATCCACAGTCTTTCATTTACGAAAATAACAACACAGCTTCCTAATTTTCAGTTTAATAAATAATTGGGTTCTTCTCAATCCTATCACCAAATCAGACTGAAAAATCTGTCAGTATTTACTAGGCAATTGTCAATTTTTTTGTGAATTATTATTTCCGTAAATTGTCTCTTTTTCTTTTTTCCTTCTCTAATATTAAATGTGCCATGTGTTTTGTTTGAGGCTTTTTTTTCGAAAACCTTCAAATATCCAACGATAAAGCGGAAAAGGATTGTGAAGGAAAGAGTGCAAAGGAACGTAAAACAAAAAATGTTAGCGTGAATGAGAGGAAGAAATTCTTTTTTTTTATTTTCTTATGTCTTTTGTTCTCATCTCTATTTTTTTACCTTTCCGTCCCGTTTATTGATTAAGCTAGGCCAATCCTTTATTTACTCTCCCCTCATCCGTTAGCTGCTTTTCCTCTCATTTTTGTTTTTAAAAATATTTCTTTTGCGTCACACCTTTCTTGGCTTTTTCTCTTCAAAAAATTTTTTTCAATTTTTATTTTGCGCTGCTCTTGACCAAGGATCTCTTCTCCTCTACTTTTTCTTTTTCATTCAAAAAAAAATATTTTTCTTTTAGAAAATAATTCTTTTTACTATTATTACGTTAGTGCCAGTTTATTTTCTTTTATTTTTTTTGTAAAAGAAGGAAATAAAAATTAATATTACTATAATATTTCCTTTTATTTAAAGCAAATTCTCTCATTTTTATTAAAAAATACTAATGACTACTTTCCTTGCTTTTACTTAGTTAAAAATTTCTTTAAAATTTCAAATAAACATCCGGTTACGTCATTTAAATTAAATTTTTTTCTCAATAACAAGATTAGCTTTAAAAAAAAGTTTTTAAATTTACAGTAAATGGATTAGTAGACTTTAATTTAAAAATTATTTTCAATTTTTCTAGTTAATTTTTCTTTAAACAAAATTTCTCAAATTTTTTCCTTAATAAGCTGATTATTTTAGTTGCACATTATTTGTATACCGATAACACATTTTATTTAAGTATTTTACTTTTGCTTTCTCGACGGAAGGGAGATTATTTATTATATTTTTTCTAGATCATAAATAATAATTCCTTTTAAGAAAATTCTTTCCCTATTTTTGGAAATCCTGACGTAAATAGGTATATTTTTTTGCAGAAATTATGTAAACACTCAAATAATCATTTATCTAGGTTTCTCGGATTCTTCACGAATTTTTGGATTTTATTTTTTTAATCTTACTTCAGTTTCCTCATTAAATTGCCGGGTCTTCTTCACCTTTTATTTTAATATACTAAATAATATTTATATCTGCCTGCCATTTTCTCTTTAAAAATTCATTTTATTAATATAATAATTAAATATTTATTCAAATGCTTATTAAATTATTTACAAATAAACACAATTTATAATTCATTCAATTTATCATTCTCTAATTTTTTACACTTTTATTTGGGCTCTCATTTTATATTTTATTAAATAAAATAATATTTTTATTTAGTTTCTTTTTTTCTTTTTAAGGCAAAGCTTTCCATTACCTACTCTTATTATTAAAGTTTCCATATCATTTAACTTAACAAAACTTTCTAAATATTTTTATATTTTTTCTTTCCACAACATTTACTTAATTTTTATTTTTATCTAAAAATTGCAAGTTCCCACCCTTTTTTATTTTATGTAAATATTTTTTGTTTAAAAATTTTTTATTTGACTCCATTAAAGAATTTTTTTAAGAAAATTATTTTTTAAATTACTTTCACTCCTTAAATTTATTATAAAAATATTTCCTTTAAAATTTAATTTAAAACTTTATTTTGAGAATTTAATTATTTATTCTCGTATATTTTTAGAAAAATGTTGAGATTTTTTATTCCTTGATTCAAAAATTACAAAATTTATCGAGGAATTATAATTAAATTTTAACAAGAATATTTTTACAAAAATATTTTTTACAATTTTTTTCGATTTTACAAACGTGTCTTTAACACTTTTTTTATTTCTATAATCCCCTTCCTCTAATTTAATTTATTAAAAATAATTTTTTAATTCACTTTTGGTTTTCTCCCTCATTTCCTTCTTTTTTTCTTTTCAATTTAATAAATTATTTTTACAAAAATTACTAGACGTGCCAAAAACACATTTATTTTTTAAATAAATATATTATGGTTATGGCATCTAGTACTATAACTACAACACCATTATTACCTTCCTCACCTCCTCCTCCCCCCTCTTCCACCTCTTCTTCTTCCTCTTCCTCTTCTTCAACAATAAATACTTCAACAACTTCCCCAACTTCCCCAATTCAAAACAAAACTTTAATATCAACGTCAGCATTTATTTCAACAAAAAAATCTCCAAATGTCCCAGAACTTAAAATTGAGAATAATAATGGAGGAAATAATTCTTTAAATAATAATGGATGTTGTTTACATTTTAATAATTCTTTAAATTGTAAAAATGGAGGAGGAGGAATTAAAACACCGATGAGTGCTGCAACTTTGTTTTCCAATGGAATTTGTTTTTTAGAAACTCCAACACCCAAAATACCCGATACTTTGAGAACACCTACAGCTTTACTTACATCACCTACTAACTCTTCTGCTAGTTCAAAGTCTTCTGTAAGAGAAAAATAAAATTTTTAAAAATTTGTTTTTAAAAATTCGAGCGACTTTTCCCTTTTTTGTTAAAGTTTTTTTCAATGAAAAAAAAATTTACAATTATGTAAAGGTAAGTTAATTAATTCCTAAGCCCTAATATGTTCCGAGAAAAAAATGTTGTGGAAAAAAATACAGATAATCGAACAGCAAAACAGTCGATTAAAAACATTGACTGCCTGTAATATTTAAAATGTCTCACAAAAATTGGTGTAAAAAACATTCTCAAATTTAATTCTTTAAGACGAATATAAATCAGGCAAAATTTGCAAACCATTGCAAATCAGATTACATATAATGAAAATTAGCTTTACAGGTGAAAACAAATTTTTTAAATATACATATGTTTAAAATATCGATAAAACATCACTTTCGGGACTTTAGTTTCTTTTAAAAACATCAGGGCCAGAAGTGCCGTCGAGCAATCCGATCCCGGATTCCCTTTAAAATTCTATTTTTTAATTTTAAAAATTGATTTTTTCTCTAAATATAAATCTTTTCTTATTATAATGAGGAAAGTCAATAATTGAATTAGGTAATTTATTATATTCAATGCTCTCTCCCTCTGTTGCTAATTTTAAGTTAAAAAAAGGAAAAGTCGCTAGCTAAAATTAGAAATTATATTTAAAATTAAATTATTTCTGGCTAAAAATTTTTTGCAAAACTTTGTTTTGCAGCAATTAATGCATATTGACGAATTAAATACTCCCCTCTGTTTGAATTCTGCTACACCAAAAAGTCAACATCCACAAGCTTTTTTTGGCGATCACGAGCCTTTATTAACAGGTGTTTAGAATAAAGAGAATGAATTGGAGGGGAGGGGGGGAGAGAGGGGGGGGTGTAATAATTAATTTGGAGATTTTATGGAAGTTTTGATTAAATATTCAATTAATTTTTGTAGCAAACATCGAAATAACCTCAACTGTTGTCTCTGCCCCTCATCAACAACATCCATCCAACTCTGATCAGTCATATCAATGTTCATGTTCCTGCAATGCTTCTAACTGTTTGTTTTAATATTTTCATATTTTAATTAAGTCAAACCTCTATTCATGGATAATTTTTTATCATGACATACTCAAAATACTCGGGCCGAGACAAGATTTCATTAGAAAATCCCGAGATTTTTCAAATATTAATTCCAATTTTGATCGATCTAAACTCCAACCTTTAACTTACAAAATTTTTGTTTTTCTAATGCTTATACACGATAAACTTTTGACTATACATATTTATTAACATTAAATTGGTCAACTACATACATATATTATCCATTTAAAGTCCAGCACCTCTAAATAATTTTTATGAGGTCGAAACTTATATTTAGACTTGTTTTTTCCCTCTAAAGGTTCATCCTCAAACTCCCTTTCTGAATGTGACCACCGTTGTTCAACAAAAATGTGCCAGAATGGAAAATCATTGAATGGGCAAACTTGCAGTTCCGAAACTTCAATTAATTCCTCTCAATCAGTCAATACATCAAAAACTGACCAAAAATTGCAATTTCAAATAAAAGGTTCAATATCTACAAATTTGCCGTTAAATGCTCAAAACTTGAATTCTCCAGGTAATTAAAAAAATAAATTTATTTTCAAAAATGGATTTTATTTTCTAAAAAAGAAATATTGACCGATATATAATAAATAAAAAAATATTTTTATTTTTAAATTTTCCCTTTTTTCTATATTCGCCGAATTAATCATTTAAAATATATAATTAAATAAATACACATTTTGGCATTCTTTTATAAATATTTTTTACATTTTTGTTACTAAGGTTTTTTTAAATATGTAGATGTAAAAATTATTTTAAAAAAATGCGAAATTGCAATTTTTATATTTAATAAAGACTCCTCCAAAATTTGCGTGAAACTTCGCGTTGAAAATTAAAGTTTTAATAGGTAACTTACAAGTTTTGGAGAGTAATCAACTCATTTTTTACTTGGCGATTTATGGGATTTCTTCTGGAATTTAAATAAAATTATTTGAAAATTTTGCAAAAAATATCTAAAATCGATTAAAGATTTATTTTTAATTTCCAAAAAAATTAAGGAAGGAGAATAGGAAGGGTAATTGTCAAGACTATTGTCTATCAGGCTATAACCCGCCCTTCTTAAAAATTTTTATTTGCAAAAAGGAAGAGGAAGAGGAGAATATTCAATGCGCAAATCTATTTCCTTTCCTCTCTTCACTTCAATTTTATTAAATTTTAAATTTTTTAAAAATTTTTTTAAAGGTTTAAGTGCTTCTTTCTTCCAATTCTCGCCTATTGTTGAACATTTTCTTCAATCTTTTACTAGAAATCAAGGTTTACCTGTATTGGACCCCAAAACTCCTAACGCTTCTGAAACGCCTGATTTGACTAAAGCAAGTTATTTAAAAATAAAATTATTTTAATAAAACTTTCACTAACTATTTTGCCGGCTTACCAATAATCCGGTAAGTTGCCACTGCCAAATCATGCATATATGAGAGTTCAAAAAATTCACTTACCTCAAGTACAGTCAGATTCTTATTTTACCTACATTTTTCGAAGTTTGACATCTCAATTCCATATACATTTTTTCCATCCCCAAGGGTGTATGTAATATCGAGACATCTGCAATTATTATCCTCATTAAATTTACTACTCCTCCATCCAATCCCTTAATAAAGAATTAAAAAGTTAATAAACACCAATAATATATAGTAAATTAATTAAAGGTTATGTGGATTAACAATAACAACAACAACAACAATAATAATATTAATGAAGATGAAAAACTAAGAGGAGCATCAACAACAACAACAACATTATTATCTACAGATAAGGATAATCAACAAAATTATAATTTAAATAATCAATTTTCTAACCATCAACAACAACAAAATAATCATTTATGCCCAATTTATGAACAACAAAGAGGAGGAATACCAACAAATTTACAGCAAAAACAACAACAAAATTTAAATAATTCTGGTATTCATAAACACCCACAAATGGCTAATAATGTGCCTTCTGGAAGATATCAGGTATTTAGGATCCTTCTCAAAGGGATAACCCCAAGGTACCGCGAGGCTAAGAGCTATAACTTCGTTCAAAATTATAAAATCCTGGACGTCCTGGTATGTTTTGATTCAGCTCGTCGAGGAGCATCTAACCATACAAGGGCGTCTCTGATTCGATAATTTTGAACGAAATTATAGCCTTGGCCTGCTCCGTTTTCCAATAATATTTAAAAGAAACTGAAAAAAATAGTTTTTTTTCTAAATTTTTAATAAAAATAACTGGGGATGACGATAATAATAAAAAATAAATATTAATCATTTTTTAATTTATAAAATTAAATTAAAAAAATAAATTCTAGAATTACCTACATATTCTCATTTATTAAATAAAAAAGGTCAATGTTCTTCATCGTGATTATTATAATTTTTTATCAAAAATAAATTAAGAATTTGGGAGTGAGTGATCTACGCTCTAAAATTCATTTTAATAAACTTTTTATACCCATTACCTAGGTATAAACCAGTTAATTTTTTTATTTAAAAAATAAATAACCGAATTCTTCTAATATTTTTTGTTTTATTAGATAATTACAGGAGAGTGATAATTTATTAGATACATATATAAATACCATAACCTTTCTATTATAAATTAATTTAAAATGTTGCGATAGTTTGTTTCCAATCAAAAAAATAAAAAGAATATTTTATTGCAAAAATTATTTGTAAAAATTTACTGTATTTATTCACTCTCTCTTCTAGATCCCCATCTTGCAAATCTTGACCTTCAAATTTAAAATTAACTTAAGTATATCTTACTTTCCTTTTTATCCCTTACCATTACTAATGGGATAACGTAACTAATTTAAATTATATTTGGATTAGAGTTAGACTCGCATAGTTTTTTATTAGACACGTATATTTCTTATCCCTCCAGATATAGTGGATCTTCCCTTAGAGATTACTGACTGGAGCTTTAATCTGGATCGTTATCTCGAAAATGTACCCACATATTCTCATTTATTAAATAAAAAAGGTCAATGTTCTTCATCGTGATTATTATAATTCCCCAGAGTCAACTCTATTTTACCCTCTTCGAGAATTTCTAAATTTATCTTTTTCTATTTCCCCCTAATATTTTCAGATCCATCAGAGTATTAGCTGTAGTATAATGCCTGCTACAGCTTTAGGAAGTCAATGTTGTTGTGAAAGAACCTGCCCTTCAATTCAACACCATCAAAATAATATCCCAACTATGGTATCTTCCACTGCCCAAACTTCAGCTTTAGTTCATATGGCCCCAACTACAAATTCTTCTTTACAACAATCGCGGCCAAATTCATCTGCCTCTACTGCTACAAGTTCTGGTTTAGAGGCCATTCATCATTCACCTCATCATCAACATCAAATGAATTTTGGGGGAGAAATGTGTCAAATGGTAAAGAGTTTATTATATTAATTATGAAGTGTAGTTATTGCCAGAATCCTTTAAAAACTTTTGGACTTTGTTTAAAAATTTAGATGATTCTCATAAATATCTCAAACTCCCATTTGACTTATACGTGCTACTATCAGAACTTAGAGAATCCATACTTAGATTTCGAATGATATTATTTGTTATCTTCACTATAGATTTTAAATTTAACGATATTTTCCTCAGTCAATTTTATATCAATTTAAGAATTTCAAACATGAACCAACTTTCAACGAATGGCCATCATTTCAACCTGCTCCAATATTTTTACCTCCTGCTCAATCCCACTCTGTTGGGCCTACTAGTCTTAATCACCCAGATAATTATTTTGATGGTGCCAAAGAAAGGCGTTCGACCTTTTCGGTTGTTTCATCCATAAACGACGGGAATGCCTTAAAACAGAGACCGGCATCTTTGAGTGGTCTTCTCTGTGTTGGAAGAACTCGAACTGCTCGTTTAGATGAAGAAATGGAGGAAATTGGAAGGGAAGATGTTGACGTTGGTCAAAGAAATAGTAAAACACCTATACAAGAACGGCCACATCAATGCCCTATTGAAAATTGTGATAAACGATTTTCACGTTCTGATGAACTTACTCGACATATTAGAATACATACGGGACAAAAACCTTTTCAGGTAAGAAAAATATTTTTCTGACTACCGTAATGTTCAATAATTACTTTTTTAGTGTAAAATTTGTATGCGGGCATTCTCCCGGTCTGATCATTTAACAACACATGTCCGTACCCACACAGGTGAAAAGCCTTTTTGTTGTGAGATTTGTGGACGCAAATTTGCTCGTTCTGATGAACGGAAGCGTCACACAAAAGTTCATAGTAAACAGAAAGGTGTTGGAGGGAGAAGACTTTCTGTTTCTTCTGGTGGAAGTGAGGGTGTTGGTGGACATTTAGTTGGGGAATTGTAAACTTTGATTGTATGGAATAAATTTGTTTTTAATTGAGAAAAATTGTTTTTTTTTTTGAATTGTTGGATAGATTTTTAAGGATTGTGTAAAGTTAATTGTTTGTTTGTTTTTAAACAATTTATATATTTCTTTTCTTTTAACTAGTCTTTAAACTTTTTATTTCTACACTAACTAGTGTTCGGCGCGGTTCGGTACTCCCGAAAATACCGAGTCGGGTTTTCCGGTACTCCCGGAACCGTACCGAACAGATTTTGGGACTTTTCGGTACTCCAGGTATCTGTACCGAAAAAATCCATTTGCCGAACACAAATACATACTAACTTTATTCTTGAAGGGATAATGTTTTATGTTTTTATTTTAAATTTTTGTTTATTTTAAAAATTATTTTATTAAAAAAATTATATTCTGGTCATGTCCACTTCTTTAACAATTATGTACATATTTTATCCAATTATTCCTTTTCCATTTATCTAAAGATTCGCCATAATTTAATAATTTTCTACTAAGCTTTTTATTTAATATTTTTTGTTTATTTACCCGGTTATTGTTTAGAAAAATTCCAAAACGTGTTAAATGCAATGCTCGTTATTATTATTTTATGCATTTTAAATATATTTTTGATATATAAATTTTTATATTTTATAAAAGTTTAATATTTATTAGGGTGAGTCAAAAGTTCGCGGTCACTTTGATTTTTAAATTAAAAAGTAAATAGCATTATTATGATCTATATATCAATCGAAAGCTTGATCAAAATCTAGCTTGACATGTTTCAGCATTTTTCTCAAAAATCAAAATTCGCCAAGATATTAGGGATATTAGGGATTTGGTCGGATATTGAAAATCCGTATTTTCGCGGATAAATTTTTTAGAGTAATACTCATAAAATATTCTGATTCTACACACTTTTATAACCTAAAATCAAAAAAAAGTGCATGAAAATCTTAATTTTCAACGGAGATATGAATTTTTGAAAATAGCAGTTTTTCAACAATTTATGGGAGAAAACATTAAAATATGAAAAAATGAGAGTAAAAGTCCGTTTTTCAAAAATTCATATCTCCGTTGAAAATTAAGATTTTCATGCACTTTTTTTTGATTTTAGGTTATAAAAGTGTGTAGAATCAGAATATTTTATGAGTATTACTCTAAAAAATTTATCCGCGAAAATACGGATTTTCAATATCCGACCAAATCCCTAATATCCCTAATATCTTGGCGAATTTTGATTTTTGAGAAAAATGCTGAAACATGTCAAGCTAGATTTTGATCAAGCTTTCGATTGATATATAGATCATAATAATGCTATTTACTTTTTAATTTAAAAATCAAAGTGACCGCGAACTTTTGACTCACCCTAATAAAATTTCAAAAAAAAGTTAAATGAATAAAAGGATAGTGTTGTCGCTTTAACCGACAACCCTAATAATGGATAAAAGTTTAAGCCTCTAAAAAATCGAAAGATATCTTGAAAGTCCCCTTAAGGTATTCAGTCACTGTACTACACAAATTCTGTACTGATTCCACTCGATTTACATATACATACAAAGATCTTTATTCACAACCTACCTGGCATTTTATAAAAAATAATAACACCAAAATTTTACCAAAAAGTATAATACCTTAGGAAATAAAAATAACCCAACTTTAAACAATTATATGTAAGAATATATTTATTTATTTATAAAATAAAAACTTTTCTGTCAAATAAATTCAGAAACAGTATTATTATAATATAAAGTATTATAGGGAATTGATGAAGTGAAATTTTAAATGATTTTTTGACTATGAAAACAAAAAACTTTTAGGAATAAAAATAAATATTTTCCTTAAAAATAATTATTTTTGTAATGTTTTCCAATATGGAGGGTAAAAATAAAAAGTCGAAACTCTGATATAGAAATTAGAAAATGAATTTTTTGTTAATTTTTGGTTCTCAGCTTTAAAAAATTATAATTTAGATCAAGAGAGAAAGAAAGGGGTCAAGGGACCTCTGATCACGAAAAGTCCCTATTTTGCCGGAATTCGGAAGCAAAATAGAAAATCTCGGTAATTCCAAGGCTGGTCCCCCCCCTTTTTTTCCTTTCTATTTTTTTCGATTTTTAAACTTTTTATGGCAAATTACATATCATTCGAAAGAGCTCTTCGAGCTGAGTCGAACGGTACTAGATTTATCGAAATCCGACTTAAATAAACATAGTTATGACCATTTGTTTTAATCCCTTTCAGCATCACAAAAAGCACGTCCTTCGAGGATTTAGCTTCATAAATCTGTTCAGATTCGCCAAATCTAACGATCATAGTATCATTCTACTCAGCTCGAACAGCTCTTTCGAATGATATATTGAAAATTATATGCCAAGCAAAAAAGCTCAAAATGGTCAGGGGAACCGTAAAAAAAAGGGGGGGGGACCAGCCTTGGAATTACCAAAATCTCTCCTTATAAAAAATTCTTAAAAATCGAGTTTCGACTTAAAATAAATTTAAAGGGAATTAAAGCCAATTTTTTGAGAATTAAAAAAGAAAATGCAAAAAAATTAAATAATATTACTCTATCTATTTAATTATTATTCCACTTTGATTGCCCATTTTGGTCTATTGATTCCTCAATTGTATGAATTTTACTTCTAGATGCATTTCTCGAAAATTCGTCAGTTGTCCAATGTGCTGGTTCTGCTGAACACATTAAACAAAAAGCCAAATTTGAAATTGTTAAAACTGCAGCAGTTAATAGAAAAACGTAACTAGAAAATTTTAAAATTAATTTTAACCTTTATTTTAATTCCCTCCTGTTAAATTACCCCTTCGAAACATAAAAAGAAATTAAAGAACCTATTAGGTAAATTGCTTTCTACCACCTATTAGAACTTATACTGGAACAGAAATCGTCACAATTAATGGGGACTATACTAACGAGAATTGACCAAGTAATTTTAGAGATATTTTATTCCTTTCCCAATTCAAGTTACATAAACTCAAAATTTACCGCCATTCTTCAGCCTTGTTATGTGGTGCCAACGTGTTTTGCATAATTGGAACTAGTAGAAGGGTTATTGTAATTGCTAAAACAGAGTCTATTTTATTATTTAATTAATTAATCTCTTTACCCAAAGAAATTTGTCCCATAACCACAAGTGCATAATGTTTTGCTACCTTAAAAGGGAAAAATAAAATTTTCTTTTTTAAAAAATTCTTTACCAAAGGCCCAGTTTTAAAAAATCCCCCAGTTGTAAATCCAAGCAATCCAGCTGAAATTCCTAATAAAACTAGACATAAAGTTGGTTGGTCTGTAGGGAAGAAAGCTAGCATTGAAAGGAAAAGACCAGAACCAAAAAATGCAATTGAATTGTAAAGACGTAATTTATTTGTTTCAGACAAGAATCGAATCTTTTAAAAAAAATACATTTTTAAAATTATAGTTTAATGGAATTTAATAGAGGATTGAGAAAATATGGAGGAAGGATCCAGTGGAGGTAATAAAATTAATTAAATTTGTATAATTTGGGATTTGAGGTTAACTTGGTCTTTTCAGTTTAGAACTACGAAAAAATTTCCTTGGTATACCCTTGGCACTTAAGGTTGAGCCCGGACCAAAGTTGATGTTGAATAATCAAATATTTTATTTTAGCCGGGCTCCACTTAAAATTTAAATAAAATCACTCAGAAATGCTAAATTTTGATTTCTCTCTAGCTCCATTAATAACTAAGGGAAAAACGAAAGGAGAATGCCAAATAATTACCAAAAAAACTCCTTACCTTATCACTAGTAAACCCAGCAAGTAATTTAATACAAAATTGGGCTAAAGGTGCTAATGAAGCTGAAAATCCAGTATGTGCCACAGGAAAGCGAAGAACTACATTTAAATAACTTGGAGAATAAAGGAACATCTAAAGAAACATTTTTCTTTTAAAAAATTATTTTTTATTTATTTTCACCATATTAACACAAACAAAATTTCCAATTGCCGCAATCCAGACAGCCCAAACTGAAGCTGTACGTAAAATTTCGCGAATAGGAATTTTCTTTTGAAGTTCTTTATTTAATTCTGTTTTGCCAACTGCTATTTTTCGAAGTTCTACTTCTCCAACAAATGGATGTTTATCTTTAATTAATTTTTTCATGTTAGAATTTAATAATTTAAAAAATCTTAAAATACCAGAAAATTAATTTATTACTTTAATAATTATATTTTATGTACAAAATTGTTAGGTATATTTTAAACTTTTATTTGTTAATCTTCTAAGAAAGGAGAGGCTGTGGGGTGATCTACCTGTCTACCAAATTTCATCCCGAAGCCTCACAGACACCTCCACAGCTTCTTCTTTGTAAGACCCTCTAATAATAAACGATATTTTTTGCTAATAGTATGACTATTAAAATTCTTGCAAGTTCTAATAGGTGGATAAATTTTAATAAAAAATTTAATTAATCAAAATCTTGATTATTAAAACAACATGAAACTAAAAATATTACTTGGGCTATTTCTAAAAAATAAGGCCCATAGGGAGAAAAGAATAGAACAAGCACCACCATGCGCAAAGAAAACTGAAGGCCAACCAAGTAATTCACAAAGAGCACCGCTTACTGGCATCTAAATAAATAAATTAACAGAATTTTTATTAAAAATATTTTTAATTATTTTACAGTAATTGCTGGTGCTAATTGAACATAGGCAACTAAGGCAGAAACGAAAAGGCCGTTTTGTTTATAATATGTCCATTTTGAAGTGAATGAGCCTTTAAAAATTATTAGAAAATTTCAAAATATTTTTTTGGATTTTTACCAATAACTGGAAAGTTGGCGGAAAATGCAATTCCTTGGAATTTTTTTTTTAATTTTGAATGCATTTAAAAAATAAATTTAATCAACACCTTGAAGAAATCGACAGGCTAAAACATAGTAAAACCCAAGTTCAATAGCAGCTGGCAAAAGACAAGTGGATAAAGCTGAAAGCATTCCCAAGCATGCAAAAACTGTTCTGATTCCACAATGGTTTACCTTAACGGAAAAATAATTTAAAAATAGAAGGGAGAGGATGATATCCTTTCTATAGAAGGGAATATCCCCCCAAATAAGAGCTATCAAGATATAATTTATTATCAAGGAAACACCGGTAATAGTCTCGTTTCCCAGCCCCATTTTTTCCTCCCAATTTTCTACCCTATGTTTGTACGGAATGGTCAAATTTTCCCCTTTCTTTCATCAAATTTGCCTTTCCATATTTTGCCTAAAAACAATCAAAAAGATTAATTTTTTATTCATTTCTTTCACAAGGATAAAAAAGTGAGACATGATGCCAAAAATTATAAAAAACATTTTCAATATTGCCAAATCGTTTTCGCCACAGAAATTGTAGCAAGTTCTCTTTCCATGAAGAAGTCCAAGCTTCTCAAGCCATGCATCGAAATCATTATCACTCAAACGTAATTTTTCATATAAATCAATAGGTTTGAAATTCTTTAGTTCTTCCATTTTTATTAATTGGGAAAATGATTCTTCTCATTACTCTAATACTTTTTTAAATATCACAAATTAATCTTTTTGATTGTTTTTAGGCAAAATATGGAAAGGCAAATTTGATGAAAGAAAGGGGAAAATTTGACCATTCCGTACAAACATAGGGTAGAAAATTGGGAGGAAAAAATGGGGCTGGGAAACGAGACTATTACCGAAACACCCTTCACATTATCCAAATTGTAGATCTAGGGACTTGATAGAACAGAGGAAGTCTTCACTAAGGAAAGTTTAACAAACAAATGCCAAAAATCTTTTTATTTACCAAAGAGACAACAGCAAAGTTGGAAATTAAAGCAGCCAATGCAACTGTTGACGTAAGAAAAATTCGTTGTCTAGCAGTAAAGTGTAGTCTTGGTGGTGTTTTGCTGTTATTATTAAGTGTCGAATTATTGTTGTCCAAAGTAGAAAAAGAAGAATTTGTTCTTTAAAATAATTAAAATAATTAAAATTCAAATTCAGATATTTACCCAAAACTTTCATTTTCAGTTACACTCTCCAATAGTGACATACTTCCATCACTTCCATTTATTTGTTGTTGTTGTTCCACAGCTTCCATCTCAATCCCCTCAGCATGGTCAATACAAATTAAAGCAAAATTAAAACACAAAATATTTGACCAAACAGAGGCTAAACACAACAAACAAAGTATCATCATCAAAAAACGAGTCCTTGTGTGGAAAACTTTTGAAAATCCTGTTGAAAAAAAGTTTTTTGAGGTTGTTGTTGAGGATAAAGAATTTGATAGGGAATCCAAAGAATTTGGGTCCAAAAATATTTCAACGAGTGGCGGCGGCTTTTTTTCCTCATTTTTAGTTAATTCCATAATTATTTTTATTTTATAGTTGTTTTTAAAATAAATTTATTTAATTTTAATTTTCTGAGCTGTAAAAGAGATTCTTTTTTAGTTCTTTGTCTTTTAATTGTCGCTTATCAATAAATAAATAAATAATAATTTTTGGGAAGTTTTTTTAATGATCGGGACCTTTTTTTTAATTAAAGGCCGTCTGATTGACTGTTAAAAAATATAAGGAATGATGATATTATTATGTGAAAAATATATATGAATTTTGGAATGAGAAGAATGTGTTAAAACAAAGGAAGGAAAGGGAGGAAGTTTTTTTAAAAATATTTTTTGAGCTATTTTGTTGCTCAAAAAAATATTTTTCAGATAAAATATTTTAGATAAAATTTAAAAAAATAATTTAAGGAAAATAAAAATAAAAGAAACGAATCAAGCAAGAGGAAAATTTTTCTTTAAAAATGAACAGGTATTTTGAGAAAACATAGATGTCTCCAATTTTTTAGAATTATTTAAACTAGGGTAGCATTCCGTCCCCCGAAACCCCGACCCGACGGGTTTTTTGACAAACACTCCGACATGCCCTCCCCGGCAAACACCGATCCCCGACACACCCGGCCCCGAAGGCTCGGGGTTCTACCCTAATTTAAACCATAGAAATATATTTGGAATAAATTTTAATTTAAGAATATGTTCAGAAAAGCTTTAGGAACTAATTTAAAAAATATTTTCTAATAATATTATCAAAAATTAAAATTAATATCAGAAAATAAATTTTTATTATTTTTTTCTGGATGGAATTCAAAAATCATTAAATTTTAAAATTTATTGGAATAATAATTTTTAAATAAATTTAATTGACAGCAATAAAAAATTAATAAAAATTATTTAAAATATATTTACAGCTGCTCTTTGAAGAATATTAATTATTGGGGAGAGATAAAAAATAAAATATTTTAAAATTAAAAATAAAATAATTAAAATATTTTGGTGATTGATGATTTTATAGAGAAAATATATTTTGAGAATTTTTTATGTAAAATTGAGAAATTCTAGAGTTTTTTAAAAATATTTTTTTAAAGAAAAATAAAATAAATTTGATAGAAAACTTTTAATTTGGTAATAATATATAATAATTATTGAAAGCTACCCACAATTCTGAATTCTAAAAATTTTGTAAAAATAACATTGAGGAAGTCGAAAACAGACATTTAAATCTTTGTGTTTGATTATAAAATGGGCCCGTAATTGGTTAATAGAAAATTAAGAGAATATTTGTATTGAGTCTAAGTATAGCTTAGGATTATGTATGTTAATGTTATTTTTTGCAAAATGATGGAAAGATTAGATGGGGTAACAGGAATGTTAAGGATTAAAAGGTGACAGAAAATTGGGAAAGTCTAGAGAATTTTGGGGGAAACCACAGAAAATATATTAACATTCTTAATATGATTTCCACGTGTTTAGAAGCAAATACAAAAATACTTTTAATATCGAGACACGGAAAACTTATTTAATATCAAAATTAATTAAGAATAATCTTCTCTTGTTTTGGAATAATATCAAAATAAAAATAACAATTAACGATCTTTGTTTCATCGATTCATCAAATTAATTTTTACCGAAAATAGTTTAAAAAATAAAAGAATATTTTGGGTTAAAGATAATTGAAAAAGATTAAATAAAAATAAATTATTTTTAGAAAAATGGTGAAGGGGGAGGGATGGAAAGACTGCGCAGTTTAAAATAAATAAAATATTTGTTTAGAGTATTAATAAATTAAAAAAGTTTATTTAAAAAATGATTAATTAATTAAAATTAGGTAATTAAAAATCTGTGATTAATTATTAATTAAATATTATTTAATATAAGTAGGTTGATAATTAATTAGTATATTCTAAGAAATAAGTAGAAAAATGTTAATTAATTGAAAAAAGTTTATTTTTCGTATATCGAGAAAGGTTGTCGCTAAGAATCATAAAAAGTTGAAATTATGAAATGTTTAAAATATTTATATTTATTTATTTTAATCTAAAAAATACTTGCTAAAAAAGCCACCAACCACATTCTCCAAAATAATTTTTAAAAAATAGTCTCTAAACACAAAAATTACCCTCCCATCAAGTATTTGACGAATAAAAATCAAAAATTAATTTTTAAAAAATATTTTTATTTATTTATTTATTCAAATCTCCCACCCAGAGTAAAGTTGCCCTCTTCTCTGACTGGCAATTCTGCTAATTTTGCTCGCAATATTTCAGAAATTGAACGTCCCATTACAGAATTTTGTTGTCGCTAAAATAATAAAAATAATAAATTTGTTATAATTTGTAATTTTATTATTTGTCCAGTAAAAAATAAAATAATATTTAATAAAATTTATTAAGGTGAATTCAAGCCCTAATTAAGAAAGCAATACAAAATTGTGAAGATAAATAAACTATTTATTTACCTTTAAAAAAGTCACCTTTTTAGCCTCCTTTGCAGCAATAATTTGTGACATTGAAAGAGTTAAATCTGTTGCTGTATTTGATTTAGATAAAGGAGGGGTTGAATTATTTTTAATTATTTTCTCAAATTTCTTTTTAGGTATATCTATATCAGTACTGTCTTCTGTTTCTAATTCTGTTGTACTTACATAAAAATCTCTTTTAGAATTAATAATTTCTGGTTCAGAATCATTTTCTTCTTTTCCTTCTTTTTCATTTTTTTCAATTTTTTCTTTTTCATTTTCTTTAATTTTATTTTCGATTAATTTAATTTCTTCTTTCTTTTCTTCTTCCTTATTTTCTTTCTTTTCTTGATCAGTTGCAGAAGCGGTCGCCATTTTGGCACCGCAAAGAAAAGAGACTTGAACTTTTCTCTACTTTTTAATTATTGAAGAAAAATAGAAGAAAATGTCAAAGTAAATATTTGAAATCTATATTCATAAAAAATTAAATTATTAATTAATGAATGTTCGGACCTATTTTTATCAAAAAAACTAATCACTTTTTCAAAAAATAGTAAAAAAGGAAGATTAGACTCCTGTTATTCTGACACTGTGATAAGACAAATCGTTTGGCATAAAGCCAATTAACTATCAGTCTCAGATGTCTTGCAGAATTTTATTAAAAAAAGAGGAATCCCGCTCATCTTCACCGATAACTAAAAAGACGGACATTGCCAGAAATCTCATACGGTTTCGATAAAATGGACCCAAATCTAATGGAAAGTTTAAGGAAGGGAATTATACTGGAATTAAATTTATGGTATAAAAATATTCCAAATAAAATAAATAAAATTAAAAATTATTGGAAAATATATTTTTCAATTAAAAAATTTGTGAGAATAAAATGATGGGAATTTAAAAATAAATGAGGAAATATATTAAACGTTACGCTCTACCGCTTTTTTATTTTTAAGTTCAAAAATGAATGTATTTAAATACTTTTTTTGTTTGGATATTTTTATTTATTTACCAATTTTTCATTAAAACCTTCGTTAAAAACTCCCAAAAATTTCTGGAATAAAAAAAGGATCCAAAGTATTTTTGAACAAAAAAAAAATAATGGCATTAATGCTATTTAACAATGAAAAGAGAAAATGCGCAGAGAGGATTTGAGGGTGGAAAGGGGATTGAGTGAATAATTTTTTTGAAAGAAAAAAATCGTTATGGAAAGACAGATTGTCTAATATGTAGATATTTTAAATTTATTTAATTCTTGTTAGTTTCTACCAGAGGTCGATCGGAAATGACGAAGGTGCCGGAAATCGGAACTTTCGGAAATCGGAAATAGCTCAAAAGTAGGAAATCAGCCTAAATTTTTGGAAAACGCAAGTCGGAAAACTGAAGGAAAAAACGTCTGAAATCGGAATTTCGATCGAACTCTAGTTTCTAGACAAAGTTTAATGTTGTTTATAAATATTGAGATATCAGAAATACTGTAAAAATTGAAATATTATTTTTGATAATTTATGTAGTATATTATAAAACAGAAAAAGTAACATTTTTTGATTCTTATCTTTTTCTAAATTAGGCAACATTTAGGTAAATGTCAAATAAATAAATATAATTATTGTAGGTGTATAATCAAAATACAAATATTTATTTTAACACTTCCCTCCTTAATTAAAGCAATTTTAATTTTAAAAATAGAATTTGTTATCAAAAATAATTTTCTTATTTTTAAAAAAAAAAGTAAAAATAAAAATTCGCAATTTAGTTTAAAAATATTTAATAAATTATTAAACTTAAAAAAATATATTTATTTTTAACATCCCATCACTTTTTTTTAAAAACAAGACGGGGACATTCTTTTTATTTTTAAATCAGAAGAGGTTTTTAACATCTAAAAAATATTTTTTTCAATTATAAATTTTTTGCCCGGAAATGTATAGTAATTCTCCACTTCAAAAATTTTTTCTTTAAATCTTTTCAAATAAAAAAATTTTTTAGGTGTTAAAATGAAATTGAGGGAGTTTAGTTAATACAAAAATAATAATATTTAATGTGTTCGTCGTTCAAAGATAAAAGACGAAAAAGGTGAAAAACCAACAATAATACGCCGACAACAACAAAGACATAAAAAATTATTTTTGAAAAAGTTTTAAATGTAAAAGAAAATATATTTCTTTTGTTAAGCATTTGACAAGAATAATGCTTTAACTATATTATGTATTTACAAATAATCAGTTAACTCTATTATTTAAAAAGGAGGGAAAGGAAAGAAATTTCTTTTTGAAAATTAACAACTATATAATCTTTTGAATACTTACATACATAAATTATTCAAAGAAATAATTTTGCAAATAGAGTGAAAAAAAAGTCTAAGGATATACTAAGTTAATAATTAATGACATTCTGAATAGTTCCAAAAATTATTCCTGAATATCAAATATTGTTTCGTCTTCCTGAACAAATTTAATAGATCAAAGGGAAAATTAGGTCTTTGCAATTTTAAATTAAACAATTTTCAACAAAATATTTTACAAAAATGTTTTTCTGTTAAAATTTAGCATTAACTTTTAAAATACAAGGAAAAAAAGAAATTGTACATATCATGAGCTTAAATTTCTTCATTTTATTTTGACTTTTTTTAATAAATTTTCTTGAATTTTTAAAAAGCACACAAAATCAATCTAAAAACCCTTTCAAATGGTCTACCAACTGTTTATTTACCTTTCACATTTTGTGTCCACGAGACCAGGAAAAGGAGGAAAGAGGTTGCTAGCAGTTAAAAACATTTTAATTCGCCCCATTTCGCGCACATTGCGCTAACATTTACAAAATTTAATTTAAAGCGCTAGGAAAGTTTTGGAGTAAAAACAAATAAAAAAGTAAACATTTTAAATAAAATAAATTTAATCAAATAAATATATAGGCATTAAAGAAGATTAGAAAAATGAAAGTCTCGAAAAACTTTAGGTACTTTTCCATTATACGACCATAAACTGTGTCCAGCCGACTCGGCTATAACTTTTTTATGATTGATCCAATACAAATGAATTTTATATTCATTCGAAAGCCCTTGATAGGCTGTATCTTTTTCTAATAGGATAGATCAATTCTGATAACTCATTAAAAAGTTATAAACCGATAAGTTATAAACAATAAGTCATTTAGTGTTTTTCACATTTATCAGGAAATAACACTTTAATGGGTGATCAGCTGGACTCACATCAGTTTGCGGTCGTATAACGGAAAAGTAACAAACTTTATAAAGAACTGAACCTATTAAAATTTCCTAGACATCTTTAACACCATGGGCGCTCAAACCACAAAAAAACAAAAATTTTATATTTTTTTAATTTTTTAAAATTTTCAAAGTAATCCCTCCAATTCCTTCAAAAAATCATCACAAGCTTCATCCACAGATTTTGTTGCATCTATGGCAGAATTTACTGCCGTCGTTTGTTTTTGAGTAGGTTTTATTTGCGAAGATCTTGGCAAAAGTTTTGTAGGTCCAGCAACAGAGGATGTTGGAATTTTTGGTCCAATCACTGTTGGAACAACGGGACGTTGAATTTTTACTGCTGTAGGTACAAAACGAGTTGTTTCTTTCGTTACATTTCGCATTTGAGGGCCAGCAGTGATTGTTGTTTCTACATTAGATGGAGGAGCATCCGTTTTATGTTTAACTACCTAAAAATTAAAAAGTTTAAAATTAGTTTTCAATATTTTTATTAATTTTTAGTGGCATACTAACGTTCAGCAAATGGATTTTTCCAAAATTTTATATCGAAAAGGGAAAAACCAAATTCAAAGTCTCAAGCCCTAAATTACTAATTTTAAAAATTCAAAAAAATACTTGCGGCTCCGCGGAAATAACAGCAGCATCAGAATATCCACTAACAAGTCCAGTTTTTGATTGTTGTGAAGATTGATGTTGAGAATGACGCCCATGTTGTGGCCTCACCACAACTTCACGCATTCCATGAGACGGAATCATTATTGGATAACCTACAAAATTAAATATTGAATGGGGAAAGATAAATTTTTATTAAATCTGCAAAACCTGGCGGATAATTTGAATGAGGTGGAAGAGCCATTCCAGGCATAATTGGCCCTGTACCGATAGCAGGTGCAGCCAAAGAAGGGGCAGAACGAGAATAGATTGGTTGTTGATGCTGCATAGGAGGTTCTTCGGAAGATAACATACTCTCGGGAACTTAAATTTAAAAATATATTTAAATTTAAAATATAGGAAATTGAAAAATAAGGATTTGTAATTAATTAATAATTATTTGTAAATTAATATTTGCATTCTTGAAAATTATTATTTAATAAAATTTAAATGGATTATAAAATATTTATTTTTATTTGTAAAATAGAATATTCGAAAATTCAGAATGAAGGGCAAAATATTAAAGTCAAAATTAAAACGAATTTCTGGAAAAGTAGCTGATCCTCTATTAGTATGTTTAACAAAAGCGTAGCCAGGAGGAAGGCTTCAGGTTAAAAAAATAAACGTTAGAAATGCCGAAGTAAACGCTGAAATTTTGGCGCACACCCAATTTTAGCCCCCTGAAATAGATACAACAGCTACGCCCTTAATGTATAATGACATCTTTATTATAAATAAAAACATACTCTCAACAGGTGCATAATCTTCATCTTCATAATTTTCATCCCCATCAACATGTTCAGCAGCTTCATCAAAAGCGTCCTTAAGTGGCCGATTTCCAAATCTGACTCTTCTTCTCCTCCTTCCTTCTTCTCTATAACTCTCTTCTTCTTCATCATATTCCTCTTCCTCCTCATCCTCACTAGCGTATAGATGGGGTGGCAAACCAGGCGGAGGTCCTTTATAAAATTAAAAATTATTTCCTAACAATAACAAAGTAGTCTGAAGCCTAGAATATAAATAACGTTGAAAGTTTAAAAAAATCTTAATGAAAAACCTGGTGGATATTTATGCTTCTTTTTAACAGCATTAGAAACCGGCTTTTTCAAAATTCCAACTTTCATCGCTGATTGAGGCATTTGAGGCCCAAATCCAATTCCATGTATAGAATTAACAGAATAAGGTGTATTAGCTGCATCAGGGGCACTGGCACCAGTCGGAAGAGGAATTTCTTCAAAATTTTCACTTTGCGAGAAAAGCATTGCCCCTAAAAAATAAACTTTCATTTTAAATTATTATAAAATTCTCACGAAAATTTTCTTCTTTTCGAGCACGTTCAACTTCATATTCATAAAGCATCCGCTCCAAATTTTTCACTTTCTTCTCTTCTTTCTCTTGACGACATAAATTAATTATTTGAAAATAAGATGCACGAAGTTTATTTCTTTTTTCTTGAATAACATTAAGGGAAAGTACACGTTGTGGGTCAAATTCTTTAATTAAAAATTTAAAAAAATTTCAACATTAAAGAAAAAACCTTGTTCATCTAAACGGCTCATTTGTTCAATTAATTCGTCAGGATCACGACTTTTAACCATTGCTTGCCTTACAGCATTTCTTTGCTTTTTGTTTCGTTTAAGTTCTTTGGCACGCATCTGTTTACGTTCTCTATCAGCCGGATTCATCATCCTCCCACCTTTTGTGATTCCAGAACGCTTTCCCATCGTAGATAAAAATTTACAATGAAAGTCACTGAAATACAAGAAAGTTAAATCAAAACAAAAAATTAAGAAATTCAGAATAAACTTGACTAGACTCTAAACGAAGAAAAATATTTTTTAAACAAAATGCCAACACAATGACAATAATTCCACTTTTAGTAAATTTGTCTAACGCAAAAAATTACTGTATAGTTAGGTAAATATTTCTAGTTAAAGGTCTGTTTTACCCAAAAATTTACTACAAAAGGCCTCAATCATGAACAATCAAACTTTACTACACAAGACATTTTGTATCGACATTTGTTTGCTTTTTGCTGTTTCACCAAATGGACGTTGACGTCGACGCTTTGCTCCTCCGACTTCATGATCGCCGGAATGTCAACATTGTGGAGACCGTAAGTATCTGCATTTTATCCCAATTCTTATTTTGTATATTTTTGATAAATTGCAGGTTCCCGCTGATGAGATGCTTGCACTGCTTAGAATGGCACAAATTGTGTTCCAGACTCAGCCGATGCTTGTTGAAGTTCAACCTCCTGTCATCATCTGTGGCGATATTCACGGACAATACAGCGACTTGTTACGCATCTTCGATACTCTTGGATATCCACCGGCAACCAGCTACTTGTTTTTGGGAGGTACAAAGGACCGTTCTAATATTTTTAAAAATCTCCCAATTTTCAATAGATTATGTTGATCGAGGCTCGCACAATTTGGAGACGATTGCTCTTCTTTTCTGCTACAAGATCAAATATCCTCGAAATTTCTATCTACTCCGCGGCAATCATGAGACATCAGTCACCAACGCAATATACGGCTTTCGGCAGGAAATTGCAAGGCGCTACGGGGATCCTAGAAACGATCTAAATGGGATGTGGGGCATCTTCAACATTGCATTCTCTCAAATGCCCATTGCTGGATTGGTCGGAGGTGTATTCTATTGCTTTTCTTCAGTTTCTTCATATTTTCAGGCCGAATTCTCTGCATGCATGGTGGGCTTTCTCCAGATCTTACATCCCTCGATCAACTGAGGCAGATTCCCAGAGGATGGTACGATCCGCCAAACAACCGGGGTATTACCATGGATTTGCTTTGGTTAGACTAACTCATTAAATCTCTAATGACATTTTTGTTTTAGGGCCGATCCAGACCCGCGAATCAAAGGGTGGCAAACAAGTCCAAGGTGAGACTGCACAAAATAAACGCTCAATCCCTCCACTTTTTTTAATTTTAGAGGTTGCAGTTATCTGTTTGGCGACGACGTCATTCTTCAATTGACCGCTTTGCTAGATATCGATATGGTCGTTCGTGCTCACCAAGTCGTTCAGGATGGGTACGAGATCAATGGAACTCAAAAATTAGTCACAATCTTCTCAGCTCCAAACTATGCTGGACAAGTGAGCAAAGTAATTAAAATAGGAAAATTCTCTATTTTTTAGTTCGACAATGCTGGAGCGGTAATGATGGTCGAGGCTTCTTTGCGGTGCATGTTTTTCCAGTTTCCACCAACGAAAAAGTGTGAAAATTAGGATTTTTTTAAATTTTCTTTTTAATATTTAAGAGTTACACCACCTCCAGTGGCTCCTCCACCAAATGCAACACCGCTAAAGCCGCAGAATGGTTCAAAACCCTCCCCGGAAAAAGAATTAAAGGCTAAGGAAGAAAAACCAACCTCTCCAGAGAAGTCGACCTCGCCTAAGAAAGATGAGAAACCCTCGCCTGATAAGTCTGCTAGTCCTGAAAAGCCAAAAGATGAGGCGAAAGAGAAAACAGCTTCTGATGTGTCGACACAGGATTCTGTTGGGAAAACTCAGTCTACTTCGGAAAAATTGGCTGCAAACACTTCGACTGCATCAAATTCGAGCGGATCGGATTCATCGGTGACGAAAAAGAAGGAAAAGAAAGATAAGAAGTGATTGAGTCATCCATAATTGATATAGTAGATTGTTGTATATGTGTGTATATTGTATGTTATTTGTATGTGTTATAAGTATATTCCTGTTTATATTGAATGTAAATATATTAGGTATATGTTTTTTGAATCCTTTAAATTTAATATTGGGGTTTAGATAGGCAATCAAAAAAAGGATTTTTCAGTACGTTAAATATTAATTTAGGAAAATATTTTCTTCGAGTAGCTTCCCTATTCCTATAAAATGACGAGGCCTTAAAGTAGAAGAAAATTATTTGTATTATTTATAAACCAAAAATAAGCAAGTTATCCCAATCTACTCTTGCTAATTGTTTTTCTTTTTAAAAAAGATTATAAAAGAATTTTATTTATTTTTTCTAAATCCAATAATTTTACATAAACAATTTAGTAATTAATAAATCCATTACTTTACATTAAATTTAGGGATGACACAAAACACATACAAAATTATTCATAAAATAATTGTATTTTTGGCATTTTTATTATTCAACGGTTCTTTCCCTCTCCTTCTTTTTGATTGTCGAGTCACCCATCGAGAATGATATATATTCTCCTTTATTTTTTGATCGAGAAAGACAATCATCTAAAAAAGACATCTAAAAAGGAATTGTTCATTTAGGCATTTTGCACTTTACAAATAAAAATAAACCTTTCCATCTAAACCTTTTCTCTCTCATATTTTTCTATTTTAAGCATTTCTTCTCTAAAAAATCAACGCCCGCTACTTTTCGTTATTTTGTTGAAAAAGTTTTGCAACAATTTTCATCAGCCGTTTTTTGCGTCTTTCCGAGTTTTCTTTAAAAAAGGTTTATTCATTCCCGTGCCCTCTTTTTTCCATTTTTGTACGTATAATTCATCCATTTTCCTCATTTTTCATTTATTAAGCATTTTCTTCAGCTTCCTATTCCTCATTCTCTTGTATTTTATTTGTAATAAAATCGTTATAACAATTCTTAAAATAAATTTATCAACATTTTCTAAACAAAAACAATTATTTTCAAACAAACTTTCTTAAAAGATCAAGTTTTGCCGTGAGGTTTGCTGTGTCAGTATGCCGTATATACCCTTATTTAAATCTAAGGGGGATCTGTCCACACTGGCCTTTCAAACCTCTCGGCAATCTTTTTCGATTTAAAATAAAATTTAAAAAAATATTAAATTATATTGCAATTCGAGTTGAGATTTCTAATGAGCATTGTACGCCGCTAGTGAGACAAAAAATGTTTTATGTAAAATGCCCCTCTGAAATCTCAACTCGATTTTGTGATTTTTTTTTAATTAAAAATAATTTTCATATTATTTACCCCTTTTCAGTCTTTTGGACATTTTTGGATTTTTATTAAATTTATGTGAGGGATTCGCGCAATACGCGTTGATTTAACAAATATATTTATTTTATTATTAAAAAACTCCGAGAAAGTTTAATGTGAGGGCAAATAACTGCGGTCAGTTATATGTACATATTTATAATATTGCAATTATTAAAAAAAATTAAAGACGTAGAAAATTCATTAAAAATAAACAAAATTTTCTAAAATTTAACAAAAAAATATTTATTTTCAAATGAATTTTTATTTATTTTTTAATTTTTTCCTTGTTTTCTCATTCTGTTTTCAATTAAAAATTATTAATTCGAATTATTCTGGAAAATGGAAGGACCGTTTACCTTATTACAAATTAAAGTTAAATGGTGACAGTAGACCTACTAATTGTAATAAACAAAATTCAAGTGTGTTTTGGAACAAAATTGGGGTAATTTTTAAATATTGACGAGTATTTTAAGCTTATAAGGAGGCGTTTTCAATTAATTTCGTATAAACATTGTTTTCTTATTTATCAAGTCAGTTCCTGAAGGTCCAGTCAACATAAAAACAACAAAACCTTTCTATCCAAATTTAAAATCAAACCTTGTTTTTCATTCACCAATTTCTTCTAAATCTTCATTTCCTTCAAAATATTCAGGTTATTCTTCTCATCAGCTATCACCTCCATATAATCAACGACAAAAGCACAAACTACCATCTCTCAAAAAACCTTGGTGGCCATTACTTCATCCAACATTTCCTCCTTCACCTCCATTACCTCAATTTATTGGGCCAGAAAAGAGAACAGAACAATCTGCTTCTTCGATAGATTCTCTAACTATACACCAACTTTACAGTAATAAATAAATTTTTTTAAGAAAATTTATTTTTCAGTCCACGGGAAATTTTTTTGCCAAAAAATCCGCAGAGCGCGATATTGCTGAATTCCGAAATTTAAGAGAATCAACTTTTGTCAGATAGAGAAATATAATCTCGTAATGAAGAATCCCATAATTCACAATATGTTTAGTCTTTCGTATGGCATGATAAAAATACAATATCCAACTAGTATCCACCTCTTAATTAAATAATTAAAATTCAAGAAAGAAGGGATATCACTGGATCATGCATTACGAAGCTAACTTTCCAGCTCTCTTACCAAAATTAAGAAAATTTTGTTTAAACGAACAACTTTTAAGAAAACACTCTCAACGCCTTATGCCGTTTGTTACCCCGCCTTTTACGAAATCTCTCATATGAGGAGTGCATTGTTAGTGGACGAAAAGCTGCCAGGTTTGTACTAAATTTTAAAAAATTACTGTATATATTTAAATGAGCTAGCTTCTCTAAAATGGGTTCTCAAGAGACGATATACATATAATGTAATCATAATTAACTATGATTATACTGGTTTTCCTCAGAATTACTTCGCTCTGTTTGTAAATTTCCCCCCTTTGCCTCCCCTTTTCCTTGTTTTCTATTTTGGTACTCACCTAAAAATCCCTTCTTCCATTTTCTTCTTTCCATCTCTATTTAAAAATGATGAATGGGCACAGACAAGAATGGGCAAAAGATTTCATCTTAGATCAGTATAATTAGTAATCCTTCATGGGCTTCCAGAAGTCTTAGTTAATCAGATATTAAATTTATTTATTTCATTCCATAAATAGATATATTCGTCCAATAATTCGTAAACAAAGTGAACAAGCAAGTGAAGAAGACAAAACTCTAACAAACAAAGTAGATCAAGTTAATCGTTGGCATAAATATAGGTTAAAACTGCCTCAATCAAAAACAGTCAAAGAATTAATTGAGCCTTGGTATTTTAGTGGATTAACGAAAGAAAATCAAAAAATTGGAAAGAAGAATTGCGGGAATTAAAATTTTGAAAAATTATTTTTAAAATAAAATCAGAAATCGTTTTATTCCGAAAACTATCTCCATGTAAAACGTTAGGTGATATGTTAAATTCACTGATACATACATATATGAAAGTTCTTCAAAATCTCACCTAGTGAAAATATAAAAATTTCGCTTATTTAAAATAGTTTAAGACTTAATTTTAATTGTTTATTTTAATTATGTATTTCATACATGTTTTATTCACATTTTAAAAATCTCCAATCATTGTCAGTCTATTACTATTTTATTTGTACCTATGATTGCCAAACAAATAAATAGACTAATTAAAAATCGTTTATACTATCATAGCTAATTCTGAATTTTACAAACCCCATTTTTTCCTCACTAAGTTTTCCCGTATATATGTACAAAATGGTCAGAGCTTTTCTTTTTTCCATTCCGATTGTCTTTCTATATTTTGTCTACAATAAATTAAAAAGAATTATTTTTTTTTTTCTTACTTTACATGCCCCATTTTACCCCAAAAGTTCCTCATATTGAGATGGAAGAAAGGAAAAAGTCTGACCATTTTGCACATATATAGGAGAAAACTTAGGGAGGCAAAATGGGATCTGTGAAGTTCAAAATTACCCCAGCACGCTCCCTACAGTGATTTTTTTATTAATTTTGCTTTCAATTCCTAATCATCAATTTTAATCTCTAAATTTTCTAAATTTAATGAATTTTTTGAAAATAAATTTAAATTAAACAAAATATTTAAATTTATTTAGTCAACCAACCTTTTTAATCACAAAAACAATAAATTCTCCTGATCAATTGATTATTTAATTATTTGTCAAATTTAGAAATAAAATATAGAATTTATACATTTTTTAATATTTTCAGTGGCGCGCAAGCGCTGAGATTAAAATGTTGGGAGGTTATAGTTAAAAGTACATGTGACTCTACCAACATAAAAAATCCCAGAACTCGCTGACGCTAATAAATATTTTTTTGATTTGTTGTGCTGATATTTTTTTAATTATTGGGAACAAATAAAAATAAAATTTGGATGACATTTTAGTGGTCAGATTTTCCAAAAAATCGTCATGTATGAATATTTTATGAAATTTTTTTGGAAATATTTGAACAAAAATTCTTAAATTTCTATCAAAAAACAAGGGTAACTACACAAAATTTTTTGATAGAGGGGAGCCTTTTTGACACGACAGTTACCAAGCTAAACACACCCAAATGCCCTATTTCTTAAAAAATAAAATTTATTTTAGTAATTTAATTTATTAAATTGGCAAGTCTTTAATTTAATGGACCCACTTAAATTGATTATACAAAAATATATTAATGTCAAATTGTTAAATTTATTAAAAAAAAGAAGAATTTGTGGTTTATTAAATGTATAAATATTTTTATTTCTATAAAATTGTGAGGAGAGTTCAATAAGATGAAAAGAAAAAAAGAGAAAAATAGAGAAAAAAAGAGTATATTTTAATGTTGACTAACTGATTATAATAAATATGGTTTACCTGTTTATTACTAAAAAATTGCCCTTCCTTCCCTCATAAAAACCTTTCCCCCAAAAAATTTTTTCCGTTCATTTTCCCTTCAATAAATAAATAACTTTTAATTTCTCAAACACTCAATCATGCCCTATCAATAAATTAATGATAAAATTTAATTTAGAGAATATTATGAAATAAGAGGAAGGTAAGTAAGGTATATGGATTTATGAATTAATTAATTATTTATTTAAACAGAAAAAAGTTGCCTTTAAAGATTTTAATCAGAATTTTTAATTTATATTTAATTATAATAATTAATTTAAACAATCTTAAAATATAAAATTTTTCTAGATTGCCCAATAAATTGAGAAATAGACACTACATACATTTAGTAATAAAAATAAACGGCGAGTAGAGGGACTAGACGGATTAAAAGGACAAAATTGGTTAATGCCTGATAAGAAAATGGAAGAAAGAAGAGAAATGTTAAAATATATTTTAATCAAAAATCAAAAAAATAATTTTATTTAGGGGGCCAATCCTCTAAAAATAAATAAAGGGAAAAAGAGAGAAAAGGGGTACACATAAATTCTCTGATAAAAAGAATTTTCTTTTGAATTTTGTGTTATCAGTAAAGTAAAAAGTATTTTATTAGACGAGAAGAAAGGCTTATATGTACAGTTTTTTTTATTTAAAAATGGCCCCGAAAAAAAGAAAAAGCATTAAATCTTTTCTGTATTTTGAGTAAACGAAATTTTGGAGTGATAAAAATATTGGACAAATGATTTTTTACAAGAGAACGGTTTTAGGAGGATGAAGAGGAGGGAGGGGGGATGGTAGTGTCAATTATAGAAAAAAAGTATTTGTAAAATATTTTTATTTTATTTATTTTTGTATTTTCAGTTAAATTTAGGCAAATAATAATTTTAAATTTTTTATTAAATAAAAAAATAGATAGAGGGAATAGGGGAAAATATTTTGTAGAGAAGTAGACTGTTTGTTGCGTTTAATAAATTTTGACGACGATTTGTTTTTGCCAATAAAAGAGTGGTTTAAAAATGAGGAAAGAGAGAGTGATGATGGGGAGGAGAGGTTTGCAAATATATCGAGAAAAAAATAATAATAGTTTTAGGGACGTTTTAGAATCGGATTAATAGATCCTATTGACTGACAAAATAATAATAATATTTATTTTATTTTGAATTTTTATGTGGAGGATGAAAATGTGGAGAAGAGGAAGGAAGGAAGAAATGATGAGATGTGGAAAAGTAAGCATGGATTTTATAGGTGAATTTAGGAAGGAGAGAATTTACTGAAGAAAGATTTAACAGAAAAATTAATTAATTAAAAAACCTTGTGGAGAAATATATTTTACAAGGGAAAAATTGACCTAAGAACTACGGTAACGGAAACAGATTGAATAAAAATAATCGTATTAGGTTATTATTTTAATGGATAAATACTTTAAATATATACGGTATTCTCTCTCCATCCTCTTATTATCTGCTGGTTTTTGTCCTCGAACCCACAAAAAGTATAGCTTTTAATTTTTCCAGTTTTTGTCTCAAATTATTCAGCAAAATTTTATTTCTAAGGGATTAAATAAGTAGATTTATTTCAAAAAATTTCATTATTTTCTGACTCTATTTAGAAAATTAGCTAATTAAAAAATCTCAAATATTCACAATAAAAAATATTTTTTAAGATAAAATTGGGGCATTAGGTTTACAAACTGTGAAAAACTCTGCAGAAAAGGTGCCAATTAAATAATGCATGAAAATGAACAAAAATAAAGAGAAGAACGGTTCCCGCCTCCTTGCTTGCGTCATTTAAAAAAGATAAAATAATTTATTGCGCGTCTAATCGGCTCCTAGAGAGAACAACAGATAAAAATAAAAACAAGGAGAAAATGACAGAGGTGAACACGCAGAGGTACAACCACCTTGTCAAGTGGTAAAGAGAACGAACGGACACGAGAAGGGGAAAAATAGATTAAAAAAAAGGGGGATTGTCTCAAAGATCGAGGTCAGTCGGACACAAAATGAACGGGAAAGAATAAATGAACACACAAAGAATAATGCCGAAACGGATACAATTTAGGGTAATTAATTAATCCTCCTTTTATAAAATCTTTTAGTTTTGCAAGATTTAAATTAAAAGTGTTCCCATTTTTTAAAAAAATATTTATGATTGATAAGCTTTTAAAGAATTAGGTAATTTAGGGAAGAAAAAACACTCTCCTCCCCTCCCCCTCCTTTATTTATTTTTTATTTATCAATCCATGGCGGCATTAATCTAGTCAGCTGACTTTAATGTTTATTTTTGCTGCAAATATAGACCGTTATATGCCGGAACTGGAAAAATAAAAATTTGTGTGAAGGGATTAATCTAAATAGGAAAAATAAAGATAAAAATGCCTTCTTTGGTTATTGAGCATTTAATAAAAATAATTTTTTAAATGAAGAAGTGTTTTTTTTTTAATTTTTCTGAGAGAATTAGTCTTAATGGTTTTTGATATTAAAAATAATAATAATAATAATTTTCTAAATATAGAAGTTAATTTTTGTAAAAATATACCCCACCTGCGCGTCAATAACCATATGATTTGTTCTTTACTTTTTAAATCACACAAACGACCTAGACAGATTGACCTAGGAGATTTGACTTAAAATAAGAGAGGGGAGAGGGGAATATTATAAATTAAATAAATGGATCTTGGAAAGAAAAAGGAAAGAATAATAAATACATAAAATTAATACTGATTTTAATTTAAATTTAAAAAATATTTTTAAAAAAGTTCAAAATATTTAAAGAATTAATGGACAAGGTGATCCCAAATTTATCATTCCACCATTTTTCTTCATTGTGTGTATACCTATGTAGATTTTCGACATGAAAACTTAAAAAATGACGAGCATCCCCCTCCTTACAAAATTAGTAGGGCTGGCGGTCCCTAGGAAATCTTCGGATATCCAAAACCGCCAACCACTATGTTGTAAGTTACTTTATTCACTCAGATATCAATCCGTCGTTATTAATTACTCCCTCCAAAGAGAGATTGAAACAATTATCCAGGGCAATTATTTGAGTAAATACGGTAAAAAGAAGAGTGGAAGAACTCTTTAATATCCACATTTTTGAATTTAAATAAGTTTTCTTAAAGTCAACACTGACTAATTAAACAAATTTAGCTTAACATTCTTGTATTTTTTACATATATTTTTGGATATCAAAAATGGACTTTCATCTTTTGAGATAATTTAAAGAGACTTTTAAAGGAAGGAGAAGCATTTTTTATGACCTTAAGAAGTATAATCCTTCAAACAAGAAAAATAGAATGAATCATGAAAAATATTTAAATAATAAATATTTGTAGCAGTTTAGGGGGAAAAAAGAAATCTACATATGGACATTCTTTATTTAAAACAATCTTTTTTTAAAAATGTGAAGGAGGAAAGAGGAAGTATAAATTGTAAAAGTCAACAGCTACTTATGGAATCTTGGATGTTAATTAATGAAAATAACTTGGCTGGATTTAAAATTTATATGAATTAATATAAAGGAATATTTAAATAAACTTTTGGAATTTAATTAAAAATTGGGGAATTAGGCTAAAAATCCTACATGTTTATTTGTTATTTTTTAAGGAATTAAAAATAAAAAAATCTTCCGCTTATTTATTTTTATGTTTACTAAAACATTTTTATTTATTTATGTGCTGATTCCCTACTTTTAAATTTGTTTAGAAAAATATATAATTTATTTGCGCGGGTGGTATTAGTTTTAGATTATGTATAAATAATATATTTAAGTGAAAATTGGCTTATCCGGTACTAGAAAATACTAAATATGGAGAGGGTTTAAAGGAGATTTTCAATCATTTTAATAGTTGTTATTCTTTAATTTTGCAATGTTGTTTATTTATATGTATAATCTTGTTTTTAGTTATAATTAAAATAAAGAAGGGCAGAGGATTCGAGTTGAAATTCCGGGGATCACCCTAGACACCCAAAATATATTCTGGGGTGGAGTCAAATTCCGAAGACTCGAAAGCCTCGAAAAACTGATATGTATTAAAGTTACAGATTGTCGGATTTTCCTTTTCTTCTTCAAGTTACCCATCTTATAACTAAAAAAGTTTTGTATATAAATGTTTTTAAAAAAATGTTTAATATTTAAATGTTTGTTAATCGTTAAATTTTTGACTGATAGAAAAGAATTGTAATTTGGCGCAAACAAGTCTACAAATATTACTAGTATAATCTATTAGTATATTTTTCAGACAAAAAACCTGAAGCAAGGAAATATAAAACTGAGAGAAAGTTTTTTAGAAGGGAAGTGGGGATAAAAAGAGAAGGAAATTTTGATTTGCCCCCTATGACTGATTGAGAGGATAAATTTAGATTTGATTTAGAAAACTTAGAATACTGTTTTTAAATTTAATAGTTATTAAAAAAGAGAATAAATTTTCAATCAGTTTTGTTAATTCAGTTAGAAAGTTTTGAAAGTTTTCAAAAAAATATATTTTTTATATTAAAAATTTTTATACTTTTTATTATCTTGTAGTATGTATAGGTAAAACATAAAATTTATTTTTTAAAGCCAACGAGACAAAACTTTTATTTTATAGAAAATATATTTATATGTTTTGTTGTGTTAAGCTTGCAAAATAAGGACAAACAATAACAACAAAAATAAGATGAGAATATATTTACATTGATAAAAAAATTAGAAAATTTATTTTTTATAAATATTATTTATTTATTATTTACATTATAAACAATAAAAATTGTCCACATTTTAAATTTTTTGTTTTACACCAAAACCAAGTCTTAAAAAGTTTTTAGAAAAATTGTGAGTTTATTAAAAAACTGTTTTTCCCTTTTTTAGTCTCATTTAGGGTTGGAGACCCGGTCCGGCCCGGTCCGAAATATACATAGTCGGGCATTAAATTTTGGCCTGAAAGAGACTCGGTGTCGGGCCGGCCCGAAAAAAATGACTCGAACGTCGGCCCGACTCGAAAACTCCAACCCTAGTCTCATTGTCAAAGAGGCTCGTGATCAAAAATTTCTGTAACCCCTTAAAACGGCTTTTTTTAATAACAAAGAAAATTTGGCAGACATTTTTTGTTTATATTAAAAAGAAAAATAAATAAAAAAGTATAAATGTTTGAGGACAATTTTTGTACAAAATCAATCTGATTAAGTAGAAAATAAATATAAATTCTGCGCACAAATCATTAAAAAAAAGAGAGGGAATGTTGAACAAAAATAAAGAGAAAATGAATGAGTGAATGACTTTTTTTAAACTCTTCTTTGGCCGTCCAGACTGGTTGTTGGGAGAAGGGGAAAAAGCTTTTTTTAACTAAATAGTAGACAAGCATCAACAAAAAAAATAAAAACACGCGCACATTGAATTGTTGACGCATCTGCAGAAGAGGAGCCAAAAAATGAGGAAAATGAATTGTCAGGAAAAATTGATAGAGAAAATAAAATGTATAATTATAGTGATTATTATACATTTATTTATTTATTTATTATTTTCATATTTTATTTTTTCCCCTCATTCACTAATTTTTCTTTCCTCAATTTTCTTCATTTTTTTCCAAAAATTCTTTTCAGACTTAATTTTTATCCTCCAGGTAGACGTCTCCTTTGTAAGCTGCTTATACTAGAAGGCCCAAGGCAAAATCCAAGCAATTCACGAAAAGCTTTCCGAAAACGTTTATCAAAAACCTGAAAATAAAAAAAGAATATTTATGAAAAAACTTTTAAGAGAAAGCATAAAAAATAATAAGTAGATTAGTCTCTACGTCAAAATATTTAAATAGTTATTTTAGTAAAATATATATTTAAATATTTAGTAAATGTTACTTAAACGAAAATAAATATAATCATTTATTTTTTAAAATTAAAAGCCCCTAATTTGTTTATTAAAAAATAAATTTTGAAATAGGAAACAAAAAAGTCGAATTATTTTTGAAATTTTAATTTTTATAAGATTAAATTCAAAAATATTTTCAAATGTTATTTTGACTAAAATTTGACGAAAAAAAATTATTTTAAAAATTAGATAGCTTTAAATAATTTGAAAAAATTAAAAGACAATTTTTAAATATAAAATGGGAAAATTAATTTTTTCTAAAGAAAAAAGTCTAAAATTTCTAAATTAAAAAAAAGATAAGGGGAAAGGGGGGATAAACATTCCATCGAGATTGGCAAAGAATTTATTTTCAACTTACAGTATAAATTAAAGGGTTTAGAGAAGAATTTAAATATCCCAGCCAAGTACATAAAAACATAGCTAACATATGAACACATTGTTGGCCCCCAGCAAGTAGACATAAAGCATTAGAGAGGTGCAGAGCAAAAAAAGGAACCCAACAACAGAGGAAAACAACTTAAAAAAAATAAAATTTTTAAAAAATATAAAGGGAGTTATTTGAATATTGAAAAGATGGGGGGCTTTTTTGTTGACAATATTATATAATTTTGAATGTTGGATTTATATTAGGGTTGTTCCCCGACGGGAACTTTTCGGGAAGACAGCGCCACGGGGGGGACGGGGAATTTTCAAAAAATCTCTCAAATTCCCCGACTTTCGGGGACGAGGAACAACCCTAATTTATATGAAACAAAAAATAAAAGATTATTGGGGTGCAAAAATTAATTTTATAATTGAAAAAAATCAGAATCATCAAAAAAGGAAAACAATTATTTTTTAAATAACGTTGATAAATTTTAGAAATCTACCTAAAACAACCGCTAGTGTCACAGTAGCTTTCTGTTCTCTTCTCATTTGTTTAGAAGCTTTTTTAATTAAATGTTTTGAAGGACGATTTTTTTCATCCATAGCAGTTAATAAAGATCTTCTAAAAACACTTCTAATCCTTTGAAGAGGAGACGGTTGTTGACTTGAACTTGATTTTGTGTTTATACTTTTATTGGCTAAAGAACCATTCCTTTGATTTGTTGGAATTAATTTGTGTGAGGGAGAAAAAGAATAATTAGCTAAACGGCTAGGGACTATTCGAACTGGGCGATTGCCGGTAGTTGAAGTACTCTTTTGTTCGTCTGTTATTAAAACACCTGTTGGGCTTCGAAAACCATTCTCGAGTACTTGAAAAAATAAAATTATTTATTAAATGGGGAAATAATAAATTGAGGGGATTTCGAGGATTTCGGGTGAGGGCATTTCGTACCAAAGTAAGAGTACGAATTTTGGTACGAGCTTATGAACACTGATAAGGAGGTGAATTGGATAGTGGTTATTCTATGCTCCTTTGTCGGAATAAGAGGGTGGTGCCATAACTCAAAAACTAAAATTACTTAAATGAATTATTGGTACTTTATGGATATGTCACCCCCCCCCTCCTATTTTGAGTCTCAGAGTTTTCCTTATGCGTAGAAAATGGTCAGAGATTATTTTCTTCTCCATGTCAATCATTTAATTTCTTCAAGCAAAATAAGTGAAATGTGGAAACGAAATGAGTGAAATTAATTCAAAAATATGTGAAAGGGCAAAATAAACAAGCAAAATACTTGAAGAAGAAAAAAATGATTGACATGGAGAAGAAAATAATCTCTGACCATTTTCTACGCATAAGGAAAACTCTGAGACTCAAAATAGGAGGGGGGTGACATATCCATAAAGTACCGAATTATTAAACAGAAATACTAAATAAAATTAACTAGCCAATATTAATTAAGGACCTAATTATTTAAATTATTTCCTTTCAATATTTTAATTTATTAAACCAACCCTTTTCTTTACAAGAAGTTGTTGGTCTAGACCATTCAATTATTCCTCGTATCCAATCAGTTAATTTATTTTTTAAAGTTTCTCTATCTTCCTCTATTATTTTATTATTATTTTTATTATTTTCTTCTTTAATAATTAATCTATTTTGAGAATTATTTGTTTGTTGTAATAAATTTGGAAGTGAAAGTGCAGAATCTATTTGATTGTAGATTAATAAACATTGAGATTCAAAATTATTATTATTTTCTAATAATATTTTTCTTTTAGGTTCTATTGAGGATGGAAGACTTTTTGGTTGTTGATGCTGATATTGTTGTTGATTTGTAGTAGTACTATTATTTGTAAATGTTGAACAATTGTTGGAAAACTAATTTTTATAATAATTAAAAGAAAATTGTAAGGGATTTCATAGCATATCAAAGCATGTATTTTGCTCAATCCTACTCATTAAGTGCATACCCAGAAGGTGCCGAAACTGATTTTAAAAAGAAAAAGGTGAACCACGAGAAAGGTGAAAATTAGGCAAACGCGAAACGGAACTCATTCTCGACCCCAATTCGTTGGATCTTCTCTTCCTTATCTAACCTTATATCACAATTTTAGATATAAAATAAGAATTCTCGAACGAATTTCCAGTAAATTAACATACCAAAATTGTAAAGTTCTAAGATTTCCACACATCCCCTTCTAACCTTCTCCATATACATACCAAAAAATTATCTCTTTACCTGTTTATTTAATATATTCCTCCTATTATTATTAACAAAAGGAGAAGCGGAGGCAGAAGAGCCACTGTCAATAAATTGAAGAACTTCCTGAATTCCATCACCAAAACTTCTATGAGTTGATAAACCTTCGTAAATACTTGCTTCATTTGAACAATTATTTTCTTCAAATTCAGAACATAAAGGTAATTTTTCAGAAGAAATTTGTTTGTATTCTTCATTTTCTTCTTCTAACGGTTCATTATTGTTTATCTTTAAGAAAAATATTCTTTAAATTTTACAATTTTTAAAAACTCTTCGGAAATGCCTTAGAATAATTTTTAATTTTTATAAGGTAAAAATCGGGCAAATACAAAACGGCACTATTCCCGTCCCAATAATACCTAATTAAAATTTTTAATATTTCCTTCCTCACCTCGTATCTCCTCTGTCTAACACCTTTAGTTTTGTAAGGTTCTTTAATTGTTTTTAAACTTGTCCGTCTCCTTATAATAGCTGAAGGCATTGAATTACAACGTCTAACGAGTAAAATATTTTGAAAATTTTGAGGAATATCATCACTAAAAACCAAAAATTTCTTAAAAATAATTTTCTCTTTTATTTACTTATTAATATTTCCTCCAATATTTCCATTTCTTAAACTTGGTAAAACATTTGTTTGGGGAAGTGCCAAAGGGTCAATAGGCAATACTTCTTTAACACTTCCATTTGTCATTGAATGATTTATTGGGGGTATATTCCTTCTGATCACAGTTTTTGAATTGATTAATTTTTTTTCTCTCCCATCTTCTGTTACTTCCTCATCTTCTTCTGATGGACTTGGAAAGGAAGAAGTTTGTACACTAAGCTCTAATAAAAGTTGGTCCTTTAAATGACTTTTTGCAATTTGCCTAGAATTTTTCGAATATTTATTTTTAAATATTTATTTATTTGCCTCGCCATTCTAGCACCACCCATTAAAGCATTCAAAACAAGAGCACCTTCTGTGCCAGATGTTTGCCTTTTTCTTCTTAAATCCCGAGCTTTTTCCCTTTCTCTAAGTCTTCTAAAAATAACGGCGTAGAGGGCAATCATTGCCAAACAAGGAACAAAAAATGAAAAAATTGAACTTCCAATCATAAAAACTGGATTGGTAAATGAACAGTCATGTTCTTGTTCAATGTGGTTAGCACCTAAATTGAAAAATATAAGAGGAGAAAAATATTAGCTGTACCAAAAGCAACAGGCACAGCAACTGCAATTGAGACAGCCCAAACAAGGGCTATCGACAAACAAGCCCGAGAACTGTTAGCACCAATTTGGCAATAAGCAAGGGGGTGAGAAATAGCTATATACCTACAAAATATTTTTAAATTATTTTTTAAAATATATTTGTAATTACCTATCAATTGAAATAGCAAGTAAATTAAGAATTGAAGCGGTTGAGCAAGCAACATCAGCACCAATATATAAATTACAAAGAGAAGGTCCCAAATCCCAAACAAATGAATTCCACTAAAAATTAGTTAAAAATTATTATTTTTCCAAAGGTATATTCTCTTTACTTCATAATAAACAGCAAAAAACATAACACAGAGGGCAACTAACAAATCGGCAGAGGCTAATGAAACAATTAAATAATTGGTGACAGATTGAAGTGATTTCTCTTTTCTAACGGCAAGTATTACCATTGAATTACCTAAATTATTAAAAGATTGATATTTATATCTAATCAGTGGCTCAATTGTTAAAAGTCTCTTAGAATTTGAAAATTCAAAGTTATGGATGATTCCGGCTTGGTATTTATTTAAAGCATTAAATATGAGTCGATCCTGATACTATGCTTCTGAAATTTGAGTAAATTCATTAATTTCATTTAAGGGGTTTATTTATTTATCCTGAGAAATTTAGCAAGTTAAAAACTCCATTAAAAATTATAAAGCAAACCAAAAATAGTCAAAACAGGAACTAATGCCAATACCAAAGCGTAAGGATTGCGATCCACACCGGTTGCCGTAAATTCAATTAAGTTATTATTTTCCAAGGAAGTTTGGTTATTTAAAATAATTTCTCCTTCTTCTTCAAAAGGCAAGGGAAGTATTGGAAGAATGGCTACCACTTCCGAAGAGATATTTTGGCTTTTTCCTTCGTTCATTCCCTCCGGCAATGCCGCCAGTTCTTTTTTGGGACTGTTGACTTTTGATGGCACCACCTGGGGCCTTCCTTTTCCATTCAATGCAAAAAAGAGGGTCAAAATTCGTGATGACGAAGGCAAATTAAAAAATAGGCCTGTTGCCTATTTAACCAGAAGATTATGTAAATTTAACAGAAAATTATTTATTTAAAGGGCTGGAGGAATATAACGTTTTTATGGAAATTTTTTTGTTGTTGAAGAAAGGAAGGATCTCTGAGCAGCAATAGAAGAAAATTTTTTTGTTGTTTTTTTTGATGAAAATGAATTTTCTGCCAACCAAAAAATGTTTGGGCAAATGAAAAGTAGAATAAAAAAGATGGTGACAAGCACGCAGAAAACGAAATTGATGCTTCCGCCCTCCAAAAAAAGTCAACACCTCCTATAGCCAAAATTTTGGCACTGTCAAGAATTGTTGAGTAGTGCCAGCCTTTAACACTTTTTCTTTTATTTTTTTTCCACCTAATTAATTACTGCAGACGGAAATTACGAAAATTGATGGTTGTTGTCATGTATGTGTGTGTACTTTTTTGAATTGTTGATTAATTTGGGTATTTTGTAAAGTCATTAATCAAAATAATAAATTATATTTATTTATTTTAGTAATACTAAATACATATTTTAAAATATTTTTTAATCTAAAATTTAAAACGAAATTAATACGATTATTTTAGTAATTTTGCAGAATTTAAAAGTGACTTTGTTTGGACAATTTATTAATTAATAATTCGAGTATGTCTTTCTATCAGAGTGGGTCGGAACAGTCAGAGGTGTCAGAAATCTGGAGAGCCGGAAATCGAAATTTTCTTCGGAAATCGGAATTCCAACCTACCTCTGCTTTCTACGTGGTTGGAATACTAAGGAAAAGTTAAACAAGAAAAATTATTATCAACTAAATATTGCCTCGATTAATTACCCACTAACGAGAGAATTTTAAACAATAATTACCAAAACTAATTATTCCATAAAATAACGGTATTTTATTTTTATTAGTTAATTCCTTAACCTTTTCAATTCAAACTAAAGTTATTAATTGGAAGTAAACAAATATGTAAATTTTAATAAAAAAAGACACAAAAAAATTAAAAATTGCCAATTTTAATCAAAAAATTATTTAAAAATTCCCAACAAATATTTTAAAATTAAAAAAATTTAGGTAAAATCCTCTCCATTTTATAAACCAATTTTCTCACTATACATAAATGCACATAAATTAAAAAACCTAAAAAATAAATATTCTAAATATCAAACAGTAATTCATTTTAAATGGCAACATTTAATTTCAAAAAATCCAATTTTTTGTTTTAATTTTAAAATTTTAATTTTTAGACCAAAAATCAAATACCCAAATATTTTTTCTTAAAATATACCTAATAAAAATAATGGGTTTTTTGGAGAGATTAAAAAAAGAAAGAGAGGTTATTGAGTCGGAAAAAGGATATTTTTTGGGAATTAATGATTATTGCCAAATTTGGCATTTTAATTGGAAATGGAAGAGGAGGGGAAAGAGGAAAGATTTTTTGATTAATTTTTTGGCAGAAACCCCCTTTCTCATCTAAATAATTTTAAAAGATAGAAGAAAACAATAAAATAAAAAATTTTAATGTTGTCTGGAAGGAATGGGATTATAAAATTTTTTAGGACTGTTATTTTTTTTTAAAAAAGAGAAAATGAATAATAAAAAATTTTATGTGAAATTTAATATAGTTGAGGAATCAGTCATTTTAGCATTCCTTTAATAACAAAACAAGAATTTTTGGTTAAATATTAGACAAATAAAAAACTAGTGTTAAATACCTTTGGTGTAAATTGGGTGGTGTGGTGCATCATTGTGCGCAAAAATAGGGCAAATGCCCCCTACATATAAGGCAAAAGAGTCAATTTGGTTAAAAAGTAGAGATCCGTCTTTCAGATCAGAGAGGATATAGAGGAAAAATCCCAAACGAAAAGGGAAGAAGAATATATTCGGAAATCTTTCTCTCGTTTTCCGGTAAAAAAAATAAATAAAAATTTAATAGTTGTAAATTCAGTAAAAAACTACCTATTATTTCACTTTCTTTTTACTTAAAAACCAAAGGAAGAAGAGAATTGTGGGAAAGGTTGGAGAGGCAAAAAAATGAGGAAGAAAGGAAGACATTTATGGGGTGGATCTTTACAAACACTTGAGAAGAACAAAAAATTATTAAGAAAATAAAAAAAATATTTTTTATTATGACATTACTCATATTTTTTAAAAAATATATTTTTTGTTTTAATTTTTATTTATTTTTGAAAAATATTGGGAAAATATTTAAAATTCAAAAAAAAATTAAAGAAAATAAAAAAGAAGGGTAATTCTTCGCCGTTACTAATTTGGATTGGATTAGCATTGGAAAAATTGGAGAGAATGTTTTTTGGAGGTTTTTCTCTTTGAGTAAAACCACGTGAGTAAAATTCTTTGTATTATTTAATTTTTGTATTGAAAATATATTTTGTTTTTAAAGAGAAAACTTTAAAGTTTTCAATAAAATGAGGAAATTGGAAATGAAAATCAGGAAATGAATAAATAAATATTGGAAGCTAATTTAATATTTTGGCAATTTTTGTTGACAAAAATGTTAAAACATACCGTATATACTTCATTAATTACCCTGGGTAATTATTATCCAAACCTTTCGATGGAGGGAGTAACTAATAGAGGTAGGGTAATTATTTGAGGAAGGGTTATTAATAGAGTATAACCGGTAATCAATTTAAAAATCCAAGATCAATTAATTGTAACAGGGAACAAGAAGACACCATTTTTGTGTAACTTCAAAAGTAAGAGCAGGCTTTATCTACTGCAAGCCCAACTATCGCAGCTCACATTTTTTGGGTAGTACCAAAAGAATTTTCATGAAATATTAAAATAGACTACCTAACCCCTCAAAATTTCTCCCATTCTTTTTTTTTAATTTTTGGTTATTTAAAATATTAGGCACAATAACTTTTGGCAATTTCATTTACGCGCAATTTTGTAAGCTAAAAAGATATTCTTCATGCGTGACATGCACTTAAATAATTCTTTAGAAAAATAGAGTCATCCAAATAAATAGCTTTTATTCTTTTATTGTTTTTGTATATTCAAATGCATAAATAGTTAATTAATAAAATATGGGGAGAAAAATAGATAAAAGGAGGTAAAAATGTGGAAAAATAAAAAATTTGTTTTGATGAATTTTTGTTAAAAATATTGAAGGAGTAGGAGCGAATTACAAAAATTAATAGTTTAATAAAAATTATTGTTATTAGTTAATCTGGATATTATAATTGTAAATAATTTATTACAATTTGTAAAAATTAAAAAAAATAGGTGCTATCTTTTATACGCCCACAAACTGTGTGCCAGCCGACTTTGATAAGCATTATCTTTTTTCCAACATGATGATCGGGATTGATCGCTCATTAAAGTTATAACTCGATAAATGTGGAAAACATCCATCGAAAAACTTTATAATTTATCGGGTTATACTTTTTGGTGAGTGATCAGACCAATCCATCAAGTTGGAAAAAAGATAAGCTTATCAGAATCGTGTATAACGGATAAGTAGCAAAAAATATTTTTTCACTTTTATGTTCAACAAAATAAATTTATCCCTGTTTATTACAATTCCGAAAATTAATTTACCATAATATTTTGCCTAACTTTAAATAGCAGAGGGAGCCTTTAAGTTTCTAAATAATTCTTGTAAGTCAATAATTTATCCCTTTTAAATATAAATATTTTATACCAAATAATGTGCTAAGAAAATTACAGAATAAATATTTAAGTTTAACATTTAGCCATTAAATTTAGTGAAATTACTTAAAAAATTTTTTTTCAAGATTAAATATCCAAATATATATTTACTTAATCGTCACTCTAATATCTGAACCAAATAAAAACTTTTAAAGTACGATATATCTAAATGCTTAATATTTTTTTAATTTGAATATTTAGCTTGCACATAATCCTTATTTTAAATTTAAAATCACGCAAATTTAAATAAAAAGAAAAAAATATTAAATAAATTTTGCATGTTTTTAGAAGTTTTTAAAGGAAGTTTTCTTTTAAATAAAAATAAAATTTGGAATATTTTTTTTCTAATTTATATATAAAGAAATTCTGAATACACATTATTATTTTTTAATTTATTTTATGCGTATAACGGCGGAAGTTTAAATTAAAATATATTAACCTCAGCCTCAGTACTTTTAAAATTACCTTACTCATTTTTCCTCTAATATAATAGTTCCTCTGGGATTTTTTAGATTCCAAATTTTTTATGTAATTTATGATGTTTATAAAATTGTTTTTTTTTATCAGAAATTTTTTATTTTTGTACTTTTATAGAAAAAATAATGAAAAGAAATGTAAATGTTTTAATTAAATTATTATTTTTTATAGATTTTGAAAACAAGTAAAGATTAAAAAAGCTAAATCAAGTTCTGTTAAAGGAGACGAGATTGGAGGGTTGTTTTTTGGAGTTTGGAGGGTAGTTTGTAGAAAATTGGTAAAATATGCAGCTATATAAAAATATACACCTAAGTACCGAAATATAGAAAATTTTGCATAAATAGGTACTAACCAAATTTTGCTCAACCATAGTTATAGTAAGATCCAACTAAAATACATATAAAAATTTACAATTTCAACAAAACTTTAATATATATTTTAGGTAATATATTAATCCTCCCTAATTTAAAATTATAATTTAAATAGTAAATATTCTATTTTATCAATTTTTAAGTAAAAATAGCTTTTTGTCTTTCAAGTATTGGATTTTTACAAGTAAAGAAAAGAAAAAAATATTTGAAGGATTTGTGTGTATATTTTACAAAATGAAAAACGTTCTAAATTTTTATAAAATATTTTAGTTAAGAGGAAAGCTTTTTTTGTGTTTAGAGGGGCCAATTACTTAAAAAAATAAATATATTTTAGGAAATATATTGAGGGAATGTTTATTATATTTCTTAACATTTCCCTTTCCACCCCCTTTTTTAGTAATAAATATTCCAATGTATTTTTATTTTTTAAGAAAAAAATTATAAAATTGAAAAAAAAAATTCGAGGGACCATTAAATAGTTGTGACTAGAGATTGGACCAAGAAGGAATCTCCATCAAAAATTTCGGATATCAAGATCGATAATTTTTCGAGATCTCAATTCTCGTACGACGCTCCCAGTTCCGTTAAAATTATAATAAAAACAATCATAATAATTAATTTAAAGAAATAATTAAGAATTAGATTTCGAGAAGAATTATAAGTTAGGTAAGCGAAATTTCGAAGCGAAAACCTATTTCCCTTAAAAATCGAAAAATAGGGAAAGTTCAAATTTTATATAAAATACCTACGATGGTAGGATAAACACTATTAAAATATTAAATTATTATTTTATTTTTCTAAAGTTTTTTCACTACTAAATTGTCCAAAGAAATGGTTATATAGTAAAAGATAAAAGGAAAAAGAGAAGCTAATAAATAAATCGTCCAAATAACAGCTCACTTGGGCCTATTTTCCTTAAAAATATTTATTATAGTTAGTAGTATATTTTTTAGAATAATATTTTAAAGTAAGAAAGTCATAAAAATAAAAAATAAAAACATTTTTTGACTTTAAAAATTATGAGAAATTCTGTGTGGTCTTTTAAACCCCAACAAGTGGGAACAAAAAATAAAAAATGTCTGGATTCAGGGAAGAAGTGCAATAAATTTTTATTTAATTAAAAAGCAGGAATTTAAATTTTTGTTTGAAATAATTAAAATATACTAATAAAAACGAGAAAATAATTAAACATTGAACAATTTGAAAAAAACAAAGAGGGGAGATTTCCTTTGCAAGCGGATAATTTATAAATACAAATTTTTGTTTGAAAATAATTCCAAAAAATTTTTTAACCAGTTAAAAGCTCAGAATATTAGACACATAAATTCATTGGACTCATAAAATTTTGTTCGGCATCATAGACTTCTATCGAGCTACTAAAAACTACTTAACTGTACCAGAGCCGAAATTTTTTGTCAATTTAACCCTAATTTATTTAAATAAAAAAAAATATTTGATTATGATTTTTAATATTATTTTGTAAGGAAACAAAAATTGCTCTCCTCCCGAATTATAGGAATCGGGTTTGGAAAAATCTTGTTAAGAAAAATTTGAGTGAAAGTTTTTAAGAAAGAGATCAAAAGAAAGAATCAAGCAAGCAGAGGTGGGTTGGAATTCCGATTTTCCGAAAAAATTTTAATTTCCGATTACCGACTTTTGAGCCAGTTCCGATACGATTTCCGACACTTTTGCTTGTTCCGACCCACCTCTGCAAGCAAGAAATTTAGTTTATACATTATTAACTGTTTAAAAATAATTTTGTCTATAGCAAAGCCTTCATTTTGCATTTTTAGACAAGGATTAGCAATATTTAGTTAAAAACAAAAGAGAATAAACAATAAAAAAATTTATTTAGGCACATTTACATATCCAAACAATTGTCGCCTTTGGAGAGAAAAAAGAAAGGGAAAAAACTGACAAAAGATGAGTTATTTAGTTTTTATATATTTTCTCCAAAAATTGAGTTAGTTTCAATAGAAAATTGGAAAAATAAAAAAATGAAAAGAACATTTAAAAAAAAGAGAAGCAACTTTTATTTATTTATTTCCCTCCAAAAAAACTTTTTTTTTTGTTTCATCGCGCTTTACTTAAGACATTAAATATTTTAATTTCTTTTTTTCCTTTAAAAATTAATGCAAAAATTATGTTAAATAGTTTAAATTGTAATTGAGGGGAAATTAAATTATTTAAAATAAATAGTCTAAGAAAATCTCAGTCTTTCTAAAATAATTAAAAATAAAATTAAACTAAAAATTAATTAAAATAAATAGAAACTTTTACAAGAAAAATTAATTAAAATAAAAATTAATTTATAATAAATAAAAAAATTAAATTAATTTACAATTATAATAAAACTAGGCAAAATTAATATTATTTAAAACAAACTTTCCAAAAAATTTAAATAATAAATTATAATATTTGGATTCTTATACCAAATAATTCTACTAACTATTAATTTAATACCCACTAATTGGTAAAATTATTAAAATTAGCCAATAATTTTGCTTTTTTGGAATAATGAAAAGGTAATAAACGAAGTTATGTTTTTTTTCCTATTTTTATTTTATTAGCAAACAACACAGTATGAAAGATAGTGCTAATAGATGCCGTAAGTTAAAAA